GCGAAGACAAAGAAGATCAGAGAGCAATTATAGCTGTAAGAAAGAAGATAAAAATTGATATCAAGTCGTACCTAAGTTGGCCTTGGATTGGTGTTCTGTGAGTTCTAGTGAGCGATGAAAAAAAACGGACAAAACTTTCGGGACAACCTAGTACTTCTGTGTTCATCTAATTCCAGAAACAGAAAACTCATGAAAACATGTGTACATTAGCTGATAATCTAATAGTTGTCGGGAATTATCAACCACTGAGATTCACAGTTTCTGCTGTAGGATTGAATTCTCACAAAGTTGTTTCAGTTGTATTTTTGGGGGTTGTACTTTTGTCGGAGGAATCTTCCATATCTTTTACTCAGATTTAAAATAATTGTTGTCCAACCTGCACACCTACTCGAAGTTGAAGTATTGTTCCTTCGAACTTTGCAACATTTCAACACTAGTTTCCTACACCTCCTGACTATAAGGGTAGCCGATTTCAGTATAGTGAGTGATATACAGGCTGCCGCCACAAGTCAAGCGGCTCAGGTCCTCACGACCACCTTGCTCTGGCTTTGCGCTGTAACATTTTTTTTAGGTATTTTGACATGCGAGCGGTGATTAGGCTGGCAAGGCAAATGGAGATCTCGGGATGAAGGAATGAATGTTGACAATACATGCTGCCTCAAAGGACTGCTGATTCACAAGCTTATGCAAGCTCCAGTGGTCCGTTAAAGTGGCGCTTAGTTAAAGCTTGCTTCTTCACCCAATTTAGAACTTGGAGGTATTTCCGCGTGATATCGCATCTCAACTTCTCAGACGCGATTTCCAGAAGATAGTTCAGCGCTCCAAATAAGTTATGCATAAGGCCCGTATGCACGTACATCCCCACTGGGAGGGAAGGGAACTTGAGAGGGGATGCGTCAGATCTTGCTACTTTACGTATCTTTCTTCTTCCTTTTCTATCTTGCTTATGAAGGTTCTCATACCCTTATACCGATTAATGGATGCCAGGTTACTGATGTAATTGATTAGATTTTCACTACTTTGTGTAATCCCCTCGGGATCCCCAGGGGATCCCTAGGGGATCACATCTTACTTTCAATGTCATTTATCTCCCTGAAAACTCAATGAAACGCTGTAAAATTGTAATGTGGATAAACTGCGGCGCTACTAAAGATGATTATGGTAGAAATAAGTGAAATCTCGGAATATCAAAATCTTCGGTAATCCCTAGCTCGCAAGCCAGGGATCATCGAAAAATTCACAGTCTTCAGATTCCATTTCTTCTGTCGAAAATATGCTTAGCAGTGCCGTAGTATATCCTCAGTACAATTTTACAGCTTTTCATTGACTTCTCAGGAATATAAATCACTTTGAAAATGAGACGTGATCCCTAGGGGATCCCTAGGAGACCCCCTGGGGATCACACAAAATGGCAAAAAACATTCTTGTATAGAAGTAACCCGGCATCCATTATGCGCAGGTATAAGTATATGAACAACTTCATAAGCAAGATAGAGTAAAAAGAAAGATACGTAGAGTAGCGAGATATGACGCATCCCCTCTCAGATCCCCTCCCCTCCCCAGCGGGGATGTACGTGCATACGGGCCATAAGACTTGCCATCACTATGCTCTGGCATGACTCGCGACTCATGCCTTAACCCTTTGGGACCTGGTAGTGGCAACTGCCACCATCAACTTCAAAGGGCAGTGTTACTGGAGCAACAGCGGATTTCTATTACTTATTGCTATAGGTAGCTTCAGACAACCTTTGCCTTCCTAATAGTGATTTGCAAGCCCCATTTCATCCATGGTGGTACTAGCAATGTAGGAATCTTTGTGCACAACTGAGTGACAAAAAATCGATAACCGTTGTCTGCCGCAGCATCTGCTGAAAAAATATCGATTATCTTCCCTGATAGTTGAAATGAATTTACACTATTAACAAAAGTGTGGAGTATGATGTCACGCGAGCACATCTGCTATGAGTACGCGATTTCATCTTTGTTGGAAAAAATTGGAAAATTGAATGAAGGTTGGGAGAAAAAATTAAAAATAAAAACGTCTTGTTGTCGAATAAGTTCCAAACTTCGCTGTATTGTTATTCAAAAGCTGCCCTATCATAAGCAGTAGGTGAGCAGTTCCCTCTCTTACTGGGAAAAAGTCAGGTCCCAAAGGGTTAAACAAGGAAGCTTGCTAGCCATTTTGCCATATGATAATTTGTGTGACTGATCGATTGGGAACATACTGCACTCAATGTAGAACAGCTGGTGTTTTCTTTTGACATCGAATGTTTGAGTAAATGTTCTCAAATATTCGAATATTTGAATGACTGTCTTTCAAGTTGGCTCGAATATTCAAATATTCGAATAACTGTCTGTTAGAATTCTTCGAATAAACGAACGTTCGAATATCTCATTTTTTCAAATCATCGAATGAACGAATTATTCGAATACAGGCCTTTTTCATTTATTCGACCATTCGAATAATCGAATAATTGGACTTTCTCAAATATTCGAATAGTCGAATATTTCGAGTAAATTATTCGAACACGAATATCCGGTTCTAACTATACCAGATAGTAATTGTACATGCATTGAAACTAGTTCTTTCCGAAGCGATTCTAAATGTGGGGTGGATTTGCCCCCACTTCATAAGCTTACTCGAGAGCTTTGGCTAGCCTAATTTCCTGGGACGAGCAACTCAGAAGTATTGCTTAAGTATACTCCTTTTTGAGATTGTGCTTTGCTGACCTTCGGACCAATTTGTAGAGCTAAAGTCAACTTAGATCCACACGCATTATCTATCCTTCTTCATTATTTGATTTAGTCGCCATTTCGAAACATTCACGAAAAGAAGACTTTTATTAAGAAGCTTTCGCACACGCTGATATTATCTGTCAACCTCGCACTAGCCCGTGAAAGTGAGACTGATTTTGGAACCTTTTCCAGGCAAATATGACCCTTACCGTCAAAGCAGCTTGGAGGTTTCCAAATGATGGTAACAGCAAAGAGGGGTGGTGTTTTGAAATGTTTGAGTTGAAGCCAGCTATGCGAGTGTTCGTTTGCAAGTGAACAACTTTTAGTGTGTCAATTGCCACCGACCGCACTATCCCCTTGAGGGTGGCAAATTTTCAGTTAACTCATTGTCTTAGTTTTCCATGAATTGAGCGAATTCGGGACTATCAATAAAGACATTACGGCCTACAAAAAATGCGAACGAGAAAGAAACGAACTCGAACACTCCGCAAAGTCTCTTCCAAACTATCCCCCCCCCCATAGTTTTGCTGTCATTTGAGGGGTTCCTGCGTGACCTTGCTTTACCCCAATATCTACCGCTGATAAGAACTAAGGGTCTTGTACATGAACGACTACCCAGTGAAACACTCCAAAACAAGGAACTGGGTTAGATAGTTTAGCCATGAGAAGAACGATTTCAATCCTAACACAGCCCATAAGATAATATTTAGGGACTACCAACATGATCCCTTCCAGTTTTTTAAACCAGTAAAACGAGGGTAGGTTCAAAGCAGATTGTCTGGAGATCTAGAATATGTAAGAATGTGGGATTTGGTGAGATCACAGAAAACCGTCAAAATCAAATCGTAATCCGTAAATCTTCCTTTTTCTGATCGAAAGTGCAGGTATCGATTAGCGAAGCCTATTTCGTCAATATGCAAAAATTCTTGCACGTCACCATGTCTATCCTTACGACATGGTCTTTTGAATGTGGTCTCACATCGCAATCAGAGTATGAGCACCCTGATTCTGGCTCATGAATCCAGGACGAAAAACCGCAAAAATAGGTAACCCCCATAAACTTTTATGAAGAATCTGTTGTTTTATTTGTCAGCATTGAATGATTGTGTTTAGTTGAGCTTAAAGGCAGCTCACAGCAGGTGCCGGGTTTTGTGGGGATGTTAGAGTAGACCCCCTACCTAAGCGATGGCTGAAGTTTGGAGCGAAAGAGGGGTCTACCAAGCCTGAAATTCGAAAGTGGCGCGGATATTACGGTAGGCCCGAATGCCACCCGCACAGCGACTTCGAACTGCAAAGCCAGAGCACGCATAGCGCGCATAGTCATGAGCGCAGGGTCCCGCAACGACTCTGCGTATCTACCTTGCATGCAACTCGTACTCGCCCGAGCCTACCGTAACATCCGGGCCACTTGTGGGAGGGGGGGGGGGGGGGATTTGTAGACTTGGTAGACCTCCTTTCGCGCTGCAAACTTCTGTCGTCGCTAGTTAAGGGGTCTACTATTACGTTACTACCAGAGCCAGGTACCCCCCACTTTGTTCCCACCAAACTGGGGAATACCTGGCTACAATCGACAATCGACATGCTAATTATAGATGTAGCGAACTGAGCTGTGCCGAACTTCTAATGAACTGAGCTCTCCTCTGCTGGCTGAGGGCTAAAAGTACTAGCTTTTCCGTCCAGCGCAAACTCGCGGTCGAAACATGTTAAAGGCACTGTCCAGGCAAATCTGGACATATGGGTTCTTTGCCTGGAAACTGATGAGGAGGTTCCAGCTAAGGCACTGCTCAAACCGGCGCAAATTATTCATTCACGGCTGAGAAATCCTACCCCAAGCACTCCGCGGCTACGCCGTGATCGCACTTAGCATGGGTCCCAGCGCGAACGTAATGTTAAACTGAGCGAGTCGTTTTCGAGTTGAGGTCACGGCGCAGGCGCGGGGTTTTCGAGGACGGATTTCTCAGCCGTGAATGAACTATTTGCGCTGCCCCTTGGGCAGTGCTTTAGTGATGACACCCTCATCTATTTAGAGGGGGAAAAACCTATGCGCCCAAATTTACCTGGACGCTGCCTTCGAAGCTTCCGTGCTACTTTATACTTTATTAATCAGTACTATCTAACCGGCTAAACCGGTGTGAAGGTATCGCATTCCGGTGGTGATGTTGCAAAAATTATCGCGCGGCAAAGCAGTGACGAGGACGAATCCCACATTTATCAAGAATCTGGCTGGCCCTTTGTTTATGACTGCTTCAAGACATAGATTTGTATCCCATATTCATTTGGTGCGATTATAAAATTACTAATAACATCTATTCTCTCAGCGCTCATGGTGCTAGAATCTGATCTGATAACGGATAAAGCGACAGAGAATAACAATAACACAAAAGAAGATAACAAGTGCCTCGTTCCACAAATAATTCCTCATTTATTTGAAATTCACTCCAAGATGGGGCAACTCAAATAAAAGTAGCGATTGCAGCTTACTCAAATCATTTGCCCAAGCCAGGTGAAGGATGAAACAATGATTTTCTTCGAAAAAGCCTAAGGCAACTGCCGATAAAATCGCCAATGTAGTCAACGTTTGATCTAAGAATTTAGAATGTTCATAAGAAAGGGAGAGCTACAACACCGGTCAGGACTAATCTCGGAGCAATTTCACTCGTAAAACAAAAACAATAGGGACTGGAAAAGGTGATGAGCGATGAATTACATAGATCGAACATAATTTCTAGAGGGAAACGAGGCAAACAAGTCAAAAGAAAGAATTTCTCGACACAAAGATCACGGTCAGCAGATAGATTCAGTGAAAATGCTCGCAAGCTATATGAAATACGAATGTGCCCACGGTGATGGAAGAGAGAGAGGGAGAGAAAAGAGGAAGGGTAGATCAAAACAACAACTCGAAAAAAAAAAGAATGTTCTGCTCACGATTGGCATCATATGTAATCTGGGACAGATACGGACAGTGAAGATCATACGACAGGAGTTTTTCTTTTCGGTGTACGCATAGTAACTGTCATGAGATTACGTCTGTCCCTCTTCTGCTAAAACTTCTTCCACAGATCTGCCTTCTTCCTTAGCGCGCAGGTACGTCTGGTAGTGAGGAGACTCCTGCAATTCAGCGCTCTCCTCTACGTGGTAATTTGCGAACGCACTGAGAAAGCTGCTCACCTTGAATATTCTAACCTTCCTCTGAATCGCTCGTGCATTTTCCTTGTAGATGTTTTTGGGATCAGCGGCCATAGCCTTAGCATCGATTAAATTCTTATGTTCGTATATCCCTGTTATATGCTCTCAAATTCACACTTACAGCGTAGTCCTCGCCATGCGCATCAATCAAGCCGGAACAGAAAATGATATCACGAGGGAGCAACTTGTATACACGTTCGCGGCTAGACGGCGTCTTCAAAATTCAAAGATTACTTAAGCAAGAAGCGAGTATATAAAATAAGCTTCCACATGACGCAAGCGGACCCGATGGAACATTTGAGCTAAACAGCTGATTACAGTTTCTATGTTGAACAGTCGTAGGATCGAGCACCGATTACGAAAAAGGATTTGTATGCCATAACTTCATGTCGACCTGTGCGGACGACGAAGGGCGTGAAGCTTTTTTTTAAACATGAAAAAGTGAATGTATACCGCTGCAAAATACTGACTAGGTACGACTTCCAAAATCATGCGCCATTATTGAAACTGCAGAGATTTCGCACCTCAATCCGGAAAAAACGAGCAAGACCAAGGCTTAAACAGTTTCTCAGCGTGACTTTAATTGACCAACTGCCCACACCGCTCTCACAGTAGAGAAAATGCGCGAGTAAATACCACAAGTTAGTTGAATAACAAACCAATTGTTTGAAAATTGAGAGCAAAGAGCTCCGCAAGTCTTGAGTTGGCGGTTCGATAGTCAGTTGAACTAATGTTAAGATTCAAGATAGAGCGATGGATAAGAAGTAGATTTGAGATGTAAGCAACACAAACTGTTTGACCTATGACCAAGTTGAAAGCCAATGCCGCGCATTAAGCTTGAGCATAAGATCGCCTTTTGCTTTACAGCTGACAAAGGAATGATCAGAAGTCAAAGTGGCCAATCTGAACAGACTGCATACCACTGGATGCAGCATAGAACGCTGACTCCTAATCTATCTTCCGTATCTGCTGAACGCCTTTGTGGACGAGGCTATAAGCAGTTCTACTTCAAGGGGATCGTACAAAAGAATTGCAAAGTCAAAGTTGCATATGCTTTTTTTAGCTCACATTTGGTCATGCATTGTATAAGCAACCTATCCGCATGTTGGGCCAGCCGGTCAAGATCTGTATGTCCAATCTGCACTTTGCATACACAATTACCCTGCAGTATAATAGCTGATAACTTCGTATAGAGGTTTAGATTTAGGTTTAGCAGATAGCAGATTCCGCATCAGTCTTCTATACCGCTTCCAGTGATATACAGCTTGTTGAAAATATCCACCCCGACTTCTGACCATTCCCTTGTGAGATACGCATTTAGACGGACTTCGCACTAAATGATTCCTCACTTCTGGGTTTCCATTCGACCTAACACGATTATTTTCAAAAGAATTGCTGTCCAAACAGATTTGGCACCTATGACTACAAGTATTCGAAATATACATAGCTGCTGCTGCCCTGACTTCTATCAACGTGTTACTAGAGAAAAGGCCGAGAGCTCGATTAAAGAATCAATGCTGTACAGACTTACTTGACAGTGCTGATCCCAAGACTGTCCTATTCACACTTTGATTACAATTGGAAAGAACATGACAGTAAGAAAGAAAGTAACAAAGATAACATCGGTGCCGACTAGACAAAAAGAAAAACTTAAAGTAGCAAAGCTATGCACAAACCGTGGGCCTTGAGTAGTGAAGTTCAAGAGGAAGAGGGGTGATGTGAATCTTATGTTCAGTTGCTACTTCCGGCTTCCTTTCCGACAGCTTCACGAGTTGAGCGTCGATCGTCATTTTCTGCACACAAAAAGACTACGACTATATTTCTACAGACTAATCAAACAGAGATGGGTCACTACAACGTGCTCTAACTTTGTTGAACCAAGAGGTTCATTGTTACTTTGGGAAAAGAGTGGAGGTGCATGGCTCTAGCTAGCCCTTGTTCAAAAAATAGAAATGAAATCTGAAAAAAGCACGCCTTGGGCACTAGATATTGCACCGCTAACCTAGCACTAAACATGCAGCCTGACCTGCAACAAAGTTGCAACAAATTTGATTCAGTGAATGTCGGCAAAACATACTACATTCGGGTCGATCTCGACAATGTCGTGCTTGGCCTTCTTCAAAGTGTGTGAAACTAGTTTTTCTACATTTTGGGCGAACTGTGTGGGGCTCGTCGAGGAAGTGGTGTCGAGCGTGGCGGTGATAGTATGTACTGTTTCTAAAAAAGGCTATGATAGTTTACAACTGATGTGCTGCCGAGTGACATAACCTTTCATTCCGTTCTCATTGGCAGTGCTTGTCACTTCATGAACTTGGATAGGAGGTGATGCCTGATCAGTTGGAGCGTCATTCTCTGACATTACGGACTCCTTAAACAGACTCCTTCAGCAGCTCACAAATGAGCACTAAGCGAATATACTAACGGTAACAACAGTTACTTCCGTAGTGATCTCAACACCGGGTGATACCTGCTTGACTTTCTTCTCTTTCTGTTTATTCTTCATGGCCGAAGATTTCCCCTAAGGTGATTGACATTGCGCATTGGTAAATGATCAAATATGGACCTTAAGTGCTTGGGAACAATGAAGAAACGAGGGATGCCAAATACGTAATGAGCAACTAACGCTTCCGTTTTGTGTGAGCTTAGCTTATCATTAACTATAGGTCTCATTTATCACAAAACCCGAAAGAATACTTAGTGCGAGAATATAGAATTTTGGAAAAGACGGTACTAAAGTGAGCAAAACTTCCTTAGGTGAAAACCACAACGATAATCTATTTAAATAAAAAGGAATCGACTGACTCACAGTGTAATCTTCCTTATTTCCATCATGCCTGTTAGATTCGTCATGAGAGGGTTCACCATGCGTTACCTGAAAAAGCAGTCGTAACTCAAATGAATCTCAAATAAGATTCAAACCAGCTTACAGTAATGAATAAACGTTTACGCGCGTTGCGAGATCGCCTCAAGGGCTGGGCATACATCACACGATTTCATGGCCTCGCGATCAGAGGTGCGATGGGGGGAGCCGGGCCCACCAAAAGTGAAGGTGGTCCCAGCTACCACTGGCCGGCCAAAAGTGAAGGTGGTAGTGTCGGACACTCACCTCCCAAAACGTCGACGGGGGGGGGGGGACGAGGGAGGTGCGGGGGGGGGGGAGTAGAACGGACGAACAGAGCTATCTTTCTAGGTCGAACTGTGACCCAACGGCCCTCTTTAGGGCCACAGATACCATGAATATTAAAAATACTTATAAATTTTATTTATAAGAATCTAAAATAGACGTGTTTAGTAAATGGTGTATTTGGAAGTAAAAGTTTGTTGGACTGTACGGATTTTATTAAGTAAATTTTGTCATAACATACTGCGAAGGAAGTAGGTCGATCTAGGCAGTAACGGCCGAGAACCAGAATTTTGAATATTTAAATAGTGAAAAATCATGCGAAATTTCCACTGTTATAAATGTGTTGTTTGAAGATGTCAGCAGTTGCGACTTCATAGGTTTTGAAGAGTAAATGGTGCTCTATCAGATAGTGAAAGAATCGAGTCAATTTGAGAGACAGTCGTTGAAAACCAGAATTCTAAAAATTTACGCCATTTTTGCGTGTTTTTTGACAGTTGACAGTTAAACTCATATAAATCTTGAAAGTGAAAGTGTAGATGTTGCGACTTCATAGGTTTTGTAGAGTAAGGTTTGCCTTATCTGAATTTATCTTAGCCGTACCGATTCACTGAAAGAGTGCCGAGATCCAGAGTCTTGAATAAGCAGGTAAAAAGGCGCTTTTTGAAATTCAACAGCTCATAACTTCTTCAGAACTGCATGAATCATGCTGCGACTTCATAGGTTAGATTCTTCTCATCAAGAGCTTTCAGATGATATATAATATGTGGGGGTTTAGAGCCTCCTACGAATTATGCCCGTGGGGGGAGCCTTTTCATACCAAAGTCTCCCCCCTCCAATACATTGAAGTGGGCTAGGGGGAGACTTTGGTATGAAAAGTCTCCTCCCCCGGGCATAATTCGTAGGAGGCTCTAAACCCCCACATATTATATATCATCTGAAAGCTCTTGATGAGAAGAATCTAACCTATGAAGTCGCAGCATGATTCATGCAGTTCTGAAGAAGTTATGAGCTGTTGTATTTCAAAAAACGCTTTTTTACCTGCTTATTCAAGACTCTGGATCTCGGCACTCTTTCAGTGAATCGGTACGGCTAAGATAAATTCAGATAAGGCAAACCTTACTCTACAAAACCTATGAAGTCGCAACATCATACACTTTCACTTTCAAGGTTTATATGAGTTTAACTGTCAACTGTCAAAAAACACGCAAAAATGGCGTAAATTTTTAGAATTCTGATTTTCAACGATTATCTCCCAAATCCACTCGATTCTTTCACTAACTGATAGAGCACCATTTACTCTTTAAAAACTTTGAAGTCGCAACTGCTGACATCTTCAAACAACAGATTTATAACAGTGGAAATTTTGCATGATTTTTCACTATATAATTATTCAAAATTCTGGTTCTCGGCCGTTACTGCCTGGATCGATCTACTTTCTTCGCTGTACGTTATAACAAAATTTGCTCAATAAAATTCGTACAGTTTCGCTAAGTTTTACTTCCAAATACACCATTTACTGAGCACGTTTATTTCAAATATATATGCCGCCGTATACATAAATATATGCTTTCAATAATCCTTTTTGCGTTTGTTTTGCTTATTTCCCTTCTTTATCGTCCAGCAAAAATTTTTTTATTCCAAAAGTGAAAGTGGTCACCCTGTACCAGCTCAAAAGTGAAGGTAGGGGGAGAATCGGCTCCCACTATCGCACCTCTGCTCGCGATTCTCTCATCAAGAAACTGTTACGATATTGCATGCCGCTTGCACTTCGGTGGTAGTTATTTCCGAGACATTAGAAAACTTTCACAACGAGATGATAGGCATGCGAAACACTCATAACACTTGTCTTGTAGCGACTGAATCGCGACGATCAAATCGCGTGAACTCTGAGGCCAGCCCGAGCCTTGTTCAACAAAAATCGCGAATGAGGAAGACTCACCACGTTATCGCTGGCCGCATGCGTCTTTCTCATCCGTATTTTTGAACGTTTATATGCAGCTCTTAAAAAGGCAATATCTCGCCAAAACGCTCGTAAGCACATTTGCAAAAGTTTACTACCATGGTAAAAGCTGGAGGTGGTGCAGGAGGAACCAAAGCCCTTGCCGCCTGCCCAAGGGGGAAAGTGGAAGGCAGAGGAGGCTCCGCCCATCGCTCCGCTCACGGGATGCTCCCATTCCAAATATTGATCAAATTTAATGGGTTAATAGGTTAAACTATGAATTGGGTTTTGGAAATTGACAGTAAAGATTCTCAAACAGGTTTTCAGGTACCAGGATGATAATAAAAGTAGTATCATGTCATAAACCTAATGAATATAGTAACGGTCGTCTTTGTAACAGTCAAATGGAACACCCTACCATTGATGAATTTTGTTCAAAATCAAAGTGATGGTGAGCTTAGAAGGTGGGTTTTGATTCAAAGCAGGAGAACATGAGCCGAAAATGTAGTTTTAAACTGATTTCAACAGTAACTTTAACAAAGAGACTCACACAACATTCTGGATACTCAGACCCAAAAAGGACGTAAAATGCAAATGCAAAATCTTATACCTGAGAGGAGGCTCAGTAAAGCTTCATAGCTCAGATTTGAAGTGCGAACCAAACCTGGACAACCTTTACCCCGCTGGCAGTTGACGAGGCATAGGATAGAGAAGTGGGACAATATCTAATATAAATGGAGGAAAACCAATGAAAGCTACTATAACTGTTATAACAGACAAATTTTGGTGACTTTGCCTGCTTTTGGCAGCTTTTGCCCGAGTCTGATTTTGCAACTCGAAAATTTTTGATGAGTAATTTCGCATTTACTTTCGCAAGTTCACCTTTTTGAAACACGACTTTCAACGTTTTTCTCGAGAATTTTTCTCTTCTCTCCCTCTCTCCTCTCCCCCCCCCCCCCCCCCAATATAACATTTATTGGAGTTAACAACGAATAAAGTTTTACTTGAATTATGACTTTCTTGGCTCATCAGACGACTGGCGCTTGACTGCAAAGGTCAACCAATCGGCTATCGATTAGCGCAAATGCAACTAACGCAGTGACTATCTCAAAAGATTGAGAAAATTATCTCAAGAAATAAAAATGCAATATAGAGTAAGTTTTCCGCGAAGCCATTTATAGGAGTTCATGAGAAACTTGAAATCGAGCTGAAGCTCTTACCTCTCTAAAAATTGTTCATCAATTCTAATCTCTGAAAGAATGCTAGAACTGCATTAATGCGAGTTCATACAAAAGTCCATTTACCCTATTTTCAAGTGTATAAGCCGCACCCTTTTTGCTCTAAACGCGAGCAGACCCAGGCGTGCCGCCGCGCATAGGTCTCGCGAAGCGTCGCCTTATCGCATACTGCTCTCACTTAACGCGCTCCATGATGACAGTCAGTCTTTTGGCGTGTTCGCCTTTAGAGCGAAAAAGGTGCGGCTTATACACCTGGAAATAGGGTAAAAGACTCGTTTTTCAAAACTGGTCACAGACTTGTTTTTCCTTGTAACTCCACCCCAGCTCTTTTAAATTAGCCTTTTCCTTCAAGGAACTCCTGAGCAAAAAAGGCAAGACCCAGACTCAGAGCAGAGGGCGGAGCTTGGAAGGTTGCCAAATCCTTCTCGGCAGGCGGCCAGCTCCTCCCCTTTCCCCTTGGATACACGCGGTAAGGCCTTTGGTTCCTCCTGCACCACCGCTGTAAAAACTCAACTGTCTTGAAAGAATATATAAAGGCTACTGCTTGCGATGGCGCAGCACCTAACCCCAAACGCGGTTCTACTTGTCGCGAACTGCGTTAGCCTTTATCAGTATTGATTTGGCACCTTTGTACGGCAGTAATCCAATGATAGTCATGTAAATCACAAAATGATAGTCATGTAAATCAGAAGAGAAAAAAAAGTAATTTGAATAGGCAAACTAAGTCATAAAAGAATGATAAGCAGCCGCTTGTCTGGATCTCAAATCCTGATTGTACCCAGGTCTGCTTTCCAGAACAAACGAAACATATTTATAGATTACTCGAAAAACGAAGAAAAGAGGCAAAGAGAACATACTGCAGAAAAAAGTTGTCAGAAATTGATGTTAACCTTGTCGGTAGCTTCGTTAGGTTGATCAAGAAGAAAAGGCTCGGATGAAACGGCCTCATGTCTTTTCTCTTTTCCTTTCTTATCGAGATCCACCAGCTATAATGAGTTTTATAAGGCATGCTTGCGACAGTAATGTTTGGCCAGTGGCCAAAATCGCGCTAACCACAGCTCCTCCATTCGGTGCGTCTATGACCGGAGCAGAATCAACAATATGAGCAGCATCATCACTTGCAGCATTAACATCATGTCCGTTAGCAAAATCTGTGGATTCGCTGGCGTTCTTTCTGTTCTTCTTGCCTTTTTTGCCCTCTTTGATATGAACCTAAACTTAAAATGAAGGTACTGTCAGTGTCTGCTGAACGATTGTAGAGATGTATAGTCACATGCAAGAACCTATAAGCAGAAGTCAAGAATTGCGCGAAAAAAAAGAACAAGTTTGCAAAGCCAAGCTGCCTGATTCTGGGTTTATAGAGTTTGTGTCTTGGCCGGCTTCCCATGGGCATGCGCCATACTTGATCGCTCAATCCACTTGATCCGCTTAATAGGTAGGCGCCAGATTAAGCGACTATTTTGTACAGCTGCAGAAGGCGCGCAGAGTTAACATTAATTTTGCGCACGATTGCCTGCTTCAGCTGCAGGACCGCGCAAAATCAATGTTAATTCTGCGCGCCTTCTGCAGCTGAACAAAACAGTCGCTTATGGCACCTACAATAGGCTTCGTCATTGGCCAATTCAGTGAACTGACCATTAGCGAAACGGCTGTCCACTTGATCCGCTTGATCCACTTCACTACTGGTCAATTCACTGAATTGACCAATGACGAAGCGGATCAAGTATGGCGAGTGGCATAGGTGTCATCGGCTACGGGTCAGAAGTCACATCGCGCACGGCGGCCGCTTTGCCGCGCCCGAATTTTGTAGCCCACAAACTCTCCGGTGCTAACTGGCGATTTTTGATGGCGAAAGAGTACGAGAAGCGATGCTATAATGTGAAGATTTAAAAGTTATCCACGTCATCAGAAAAACGCAATCCGCCCTAGAAAACCGCTCAAAATCTCTGCTAAAAAAACACGACGGTCACCTGAGTTAGATGACATCACCGTGCGTGGCCATACCTCGCTTCAGAGTGGACAAAACCTTTGCAAGGCACCTTCGATTTAGCTCGAAGAGGCGCATCTTCGATAGCCCGTTTGGATGCGATATGTACACGGTAGGCCTGATCTCAAGATCGAAAACAATTTAGCGGGTAGGGGACTAGCCAAAAAGGATGGTCCCAAGCGGACATCTGCCACAAACCAAGCAGCCATGCATAAAAATTTTCTACCAGCTGCGCGTAAGATAGAGCCTACCGGTGACCTTAAAGGCAGTGTCCAAGCAAAAAGTCGATTTTGAGATTTTGTGCTTACCCGGGCCTAATCGCCATGCTGAACCCGATAAACCACGATGGAGAGCGCGAAAACGTAAAAAAAAAAGCCCTAACGCAGGAGGGAAATCGCAGGCAGGCGGGGCCGTTCAGACCGTGACGTCACTCTCCCAAGTTTTAATCATGCATTCCGATTCCTTCTCTATTCCGATTTTATGTCATGCGTTTCTCAGTTGGCTGGTGTTGATGTTAGGGCGACTAGCGGAAGCGAGAAGATCGCTCCTGAAGCTGGGAGAGTGACGCAACTATGTGAACAGCCCCGCTCACCTGCAATTTCCCTCCTCCGTTAAAGCCTTTTTCGTGATCCCCAGCGTTGATTTTCGGATTCAGCATAGCGAATAAGCCAAGGTAAGCACAAAATCTGTAATTAGAAGGTCCCCCGCCAAGACTGAGACGCAGAGTTGCGCGTGACCCTAGATATGAATGTGGCGGCATGCGTACCCTTCCGCATAGCAAAATTCGAACAGGTAGGAAATCCGCACATCACCATCGTTCTTCTTGCTTCAGATCCAAGTTATAACCCTGTACTTGCGCGATGCTGTGTCTGAGGGGGGGGGGGGGAGGCACTTTTGCATGGCACTAAAATCCCAAACCTCCACCTTGTCCGGACACTGCCTTTGAGTCCTCTACCCAATTTTCGCCGGTAGACTAACGCAGCGATAAGCACCCTGAGCAACCTACCGCAAGCAAAGTTCTGAAAGGATTTGCGAAATCTGCCAGCCTACCGTGCTTCTACCGTGGCCAAAAATGGACCCCTAACGATCCGTAGATCCACCTCGTCGAGCTGGATCGAATATTGCCATTATATTCAGATTGGTCCACTCTGAAAAGAATATAGCCATGCTACGATAATGCCACCTAACTCAGGTGACCGTCGCGCCATTTTTGAAGCACAGAGTGGAATTGTATAGTTCCGTATTTCGCTGTGCTTGCGGTGCCGAGCCTTTGCTGTGAATTTTGCGCATAACGAGTAGCTACGCCTAAACTGCCCACAATCTGGCGCGCAGTAGCCTGCATTATAGGCGACTTGGTATTACACGCGGAAATTTTGCCGCAAACTTTCTGCATCGCTAGAACACTATTCAAGCGAAATCTACAGACTGTACACAAATCTGGCAGCCGATAATACCTCAGCAACGCACACACAATGCGGATTCAAACCCAAGCCTCCACCCAAAAAACCTCATTTAGAGGTTTCCTTCTTACTTCGCTTTTTTTTTGCTCCGCTGCATGCATGAGCAAGGTAGGTGTAGATCCTGAGAGTTGCATTGTTGTAAACGGTGGCGAGGATTTTCCAGTCCAGCCAAGTGAGTACAAGCGCTACATGTTATTATATCCAATCAGCTGAGTTGCGTGTACTCCAGCTTGTACTCACCTAAGATAACTGGAAAATCCCAAGACATTATAAACATGTCGGAATTAATTGTCGGTCCGTTTAGAAAGCGCTTGTTCCTAATATACAAGAAAATATTCGAAGGAATCAAATGATCATGTCAAAAAATTTTACGATTAAATAAATCCTTAATCAAGACAGCGTGATCGTACCGCTGTGGCCAAGGGAAACTAGCCACGACACACACTATACCCATCGTACAGAAAACGCTTGAGAACAAACTTCGATGGGAAACTGTCGTTCGAATAAACTACCCAACAGTTTAGGCTCACCAGAAACACTACCTGTAGCACTGCACAAGGAGACTAATAGATTAATGAACTGACTCGGCAAGATTGTCCGGGAAGCAATTTTTTACCCCCCCCCCCTCCTGAGGGGTCGCGAAAAAGTACCCTCTGTTTCTGAAACTCAAGAGAATTGTAAAACTTTTAAGGTAGTTCGAACTAGTTCTTTGAAATTCTGGCTTTATGACCCCTTATTGGGAAGTATCCAAAAATTAAGAATGGGACGAATGGGATGCGAAATTTTTGAGTTATTTACATGAGTTATAAAAATGTGCGAGTTATTTATACTTGTAAGTAATTGCAATTTTTTAAATTTTCTAAAAATCAAAATAAGCCCTGTAAAAAATTTTTTTCGGAGGCGTGGCTGACGCCGCGCCCCTCTTTTCTAAAGATTTCGGAGTTACTGGCTTCCGCAAAGATTTTAGGAAGCATACCGAAAAAATTTTCGGAGTCCGTGGTTGACGCCACGCACCTTCGTCAGAAAGAAATTTTTGTCGCCCCCCCCCCCTCCCGAACGGAAATCCTGGGCCGACGGGATGGGGGGGGGGGACGGGGGGGGGGAGGGGAAGAGCTCGATCAGCATAAACTTGACTCATTTAGTAATCAGATATAAGAAAAGGAAGATGGCTGTTCTGGATTTTATCGCACAGTTTCTAGGTTTTCAGAAGGCTTGTTTAAATATTCCGAATTTCGGATGATCTCGTTCTTTCATTTTTACCTCTGCAACCTGAGCTTATTGAAAAGTCCCCAGAGAACTTTTGGAAACTACATGCCTTACGCTTTCTGACAGAGTTTAAGCTGAGCAAACCGTTGTGACTGAAAGAAGTTATGACTTTCTGTAAATGGTGCAAACGAACTTTCGGTTCAACCTAATATATATACCTCATGATGATTTACGTGTTCATCATCATGGTATTGATGCCCTTCGTCGGCGCGAGCATCGTCAGCAACCATTTCGTCGTGTCCGTTATTAAGCACAGGCGATTCGTTCTCGCTGGACTTCTTCCTCTTGTCACCTTTATTCCTCGAATGCTTAATTCGAGAAGTAAAGCGTCTGCAGTTGAGTCTGTCCTAATTGTGTATGCTCACCTTTTCGTCGTCACGTGTGTTAACAGGAAGAGCATCTACTGGAGAGCGCTTTTCTCCTGCAGCACCAGACCGATCCTCGACGTTGACCTGCTCCTCTGTAGACTCATGCGTCTTTTTAGCAGTGGATCCTTTGTCCATTCTGTCAAGAATAGGATTTTCATTATACTCATGACTGGGTCTCGTCTGCATCTTCTCAGGGTTAGACTCCATCTGCTTCTTCGCACCATCTTGTCCCTTAGTTTCTTCAGAAGATAATACTTCTGGTTTTTTAACATCATCGTGTTTCTGTTTGGTACGAACGTCAGGTTCTTGCTGCTTTCTCGAAATTAACACCTCCTCCTCAGCTTCAGCCTCGACAGTCTTCTGCTTTTTTCCAGCGCCGTGCTCATTTGAACTTTTGTTCGCATCCTGATCTTTTTGCTTCCTCCCAGTAAGGTGCTCTTTTTGTTCTTCAGTGTCACGACTAGCTTCTTCAACTTTATCACCAGTGAGCCCCTTTTCCTTCTTCTTCTTCTTTTTCTCGGTCTGAAACGAGTACGAATAAGGAAGACAAAAGAAGCTAGCCACTTCATAATTAGCTGTCTTTGCGTAAAAATCAGGCAATTTCGGATCTACGCAAAACGTCGCGGCTATATTTTTCTACAGTTAAAGAAAGAGATAGCGAACCTCGACAGCCGATTTTGGAACTGCAACGGTAGGCGCCCCAGTGGGTGAAGAGTGCTCCTGGAACATATATAAATACTATAGTAAAATTGCTGGGAAGCAGTACACGTTTACATGCCGTCATATACTATTGATGGCACTTTCAGCAGTACCCACCATTCTAGGTGTAGAATCGGTGACCGTTTTCTCAACTTCTGCCGCCTTTTTCTCCTTCTTTGCCTTCTCCTTTTTCAGCTCCTACAAACGAATAACAATAAAGGAGTAATTAGAGAGAGGGAGAGAGATGATCCAAGTTTGAAAGAAAACTGCTCACGGGTTGGGCTGCTTGACTAGCATCTTTCTTCTTCTCCTCTGCAGCCTTTTTTTCAGCAGCTTTACGTTCAACTTCCGCTCTTCTCAATTCCTCTTCCTTTTTCTTCTGCATTTCTTGCCATTTTTGATATTCGAGCTCTTCCTGGAGCCTTTGCTCCTCTTCTATTTTGCGTTTACGTTCTTCCCTCTACAAAGAAATTTGAAATTTATTTCTAGTCAAGAAGGAACCACCTCTTTCTCTTTCCTTTCCAGCTCCAATCGTCGGGCCTCGTCGTCAATTTGCTTGGCAATCAACTTTTTCTCTTTCTTCCTTTCCGCACGACGAGTACGTTCTTCTTCGCTTACCTTGATAACGTAACGTATACAATGGAACACATCAGCCTGGTATACTTCTAGTGAAAATCACCTCTTTGATGGTCGGAACTAAGGTATGAGTGAATAACTGGCGCTTCTCTGCCACATCAGGACTATAGACGAGTGTATGGGCCCTGAAGAAATTGCTGTGTTTTACTGAATATATATTAGAGTTCAAAGACACAATCTCACCACTGCTTTTGTCTTAATCGCGAATTCTTCACTTGCTTGCCTCTATTCCTTCTGACATTGGTCGTGTGATGATTAGTGTGTGGTCGTTTCACGGAACGAGGAGATCGCATCGCTACGCGTGATTGCTGTGTGCTTCGAATTTGAACTGTACTGGAATAGGTGAGAGCAGTTGAAGCGTTTCACGAGAACAGGACACAATACTTCGGGCCTAATTGCTGTTGGTTGGGTAAGTCTCGAGTGAAAGAAACTTCGGAAAAACAAATAAAAAATGTTCCTATCGATCAAGCAAGATGCCGCATTCAGCTATGAGTCATCCAGAGTCAAGCATGGGGCTTCGCTCTTCGACGGATAATCAGCAAACATTGCAATGAAAAAGTGCGCAAATAACGCTTATGGGCTTTATTAAACTGAGGGCAAGATTTAAACAGAGAGTGAGGAGAGTCTCCGCGATGAAAGTTGCCTTGTTTGCTGTGAGGTGTACCACTGTATGAGAGATGACGAACAAGAAAGTGAGGAGCTTCATCAGTTCCTTTGAGACACACATGACCAAATTTTTTTCAAGCAACATTCAAATTCGCGAGACTCACATACCGCAGCTCTGATATAAAACTCGATGAGCAACGAAATCCAGTAAGTTCAAAGTTTTCTCGCAATATTTTCTACTCAGCAACATTCAATCGGTAACTGTGAAAAAAATGTTTGATAAAGATGCTACTCAAAGGGAAGTCGTTAATCCATGCGTATTTCGGATTATTAGCTTCTGAAGGAGAGACCTGCACAGCAACCACAACATCATCAACACTGTTCAATGGCGTCTGCACTTTCAGCTGCTTTGCATTCTCGCTGTCGAATAATGATGTAGCGGAAGGTGGGAGAACAACAGAATAAGTACGTTTAGAATGCAGCTGAAATTGTTTGCAAATTTCAAGCCGGCTTCGATTAGCTGCTGCCAGGGTTTTATTTGTCGCATAATTTGATGAACTAGAACGGGATCACAGCTCAACCTCTGAGTCCTCTCAACAAAATTTTCTCTTTTATTTCGTGAATAACGTGCGGTATCTGGCTTTAGTGGTACAAACTGAATGCAGAAACTTTTGCTCATGATTACGTGCAGCTTCAGGGAATAAACGCGCGGCATGACACGACAAGAAAGGCAAACGTATTTGTTAGATTCTAAAAGATGTCAGGAAATATGAAAGCAGCCGCAGATGATTCAATACACATATTCGAAGAGGTTCTCGAGTTTCATTCGGCGAAGGACGAATGCGCTGACAAAGCGCTTAATTGATTAAAGGCGCGGCATCTGCAAGCGCACAGACTCAGCAGGCATTGCAACAGACTTTTGCAAATTTGCGAGCGCATTCGCACTGATAACTTTGATCAAAGAATGACTGCTCCAATCTTCAAACGACATCATGGTAAAAGCAAACTGGCTTATACTGAAGAAGATGCCTCTACCAAAGCGTGCTAATGATAGTGAGATAGTGAGTATTCGAATTACCTCTGAAGCTTGCATATACAACGGAGATACAGCTGCCGCGGAGGTTGACTCCGTGAATCTGATTATGATATTTTGTGCAAATATATTCCTATGGTATCAGCTGCAGTGTTTTTTCCATCGCTAGAATATCTCCCACGAAAACCAACCTGTTCATACATTAATTTGACACACAATACATGTTTGGTGATGTCTGTGTAAACATTTGATTTCAAAAACATTCTGCATAAACAGCGTTATTCTACTGAAATACGCAGATGAACAGTGAGAGCACCCTTGGAAGACATACTGGTTGAATTGACGCTAACAATTCGAAACGATACATTACAGCAAAACCACGACAAGCAATGGCAATAGGAGCGATCTGCGAGATGTCGTAAGCCCACAAAGTGTTAGATTTCGACAACCGCCAATACTTGAGGTCATGGTCGGCAGAGGTTTTAAAAAAATCTCTTGTCGCGGTGAGTGGCCTGTGTTGCTCAATTTCACGAGGGGGAGGGGATTTCGAATGTCAAGCGACAAAGTAAAACGCAACTTTCCAAAATGGAAAGATTGTATTGCCAAAAGATGACGGTAGTATTGTGAATGAAGTCACCTAACTCTCTTTAACAGCAACTGTAGGGGCTATCTCCTGAAGCATGTAAACAGTGAGCATTATAGCAAAATACGATCAATGTATGAAGACTCCACCAATTAATGGAGAGATAGTCGAAGGTTCTCTTTGTAGGCGATAAGAAAGTTTCAAACGCTCATTGTATTACGAAGGCACCTAAAGCATTATTTATCGTTGCGACCAATTTAACGCTTATAGTCTGACCTAAAGAGAGAACGGGAAAACTGCAGCTCACATGACCATGTGTCCATGCAACAGAAATTAGACGCTGTTAAATGAGTGTAGGAAACGGTGAAAGAATTTGCTATGGTACTGAAAAACGATCATATATATCGTGATATTGCCAAAGTCTCAAAGCAGTTATACATGAAGTTTCATTTCTTGTAAAGAGGAACAAGGCACATGATTGTCAATGGAATAATCAGACAACCACATTAGCGAAAGTGGATGAAGCAAAATTCAAAACATTACGGGCCATCTTGGCATATGTGTAGTATGCCTTCTAAATTCAAAACATTAGGGGCCATCTTGGCACAAGAGTAGTATGCCTTCTATCGCCAAAAAATAGATTCAAAAATATATTGTAAAGGATAGTCACCTGCGCTATGTGACAAATATCAGAGACCTAGGATGGAATATGATCAGCGCCGAATTGAGGACAAACAGTAGTGAGCAGAGATTTAGAGCTAAAACTGCACAGACAGATGGATCCTTCTTTTCCGGAAGCTCTGAGATACGCTAAGTAATCATGTACGGTCGAAAATCAGCGCCGTTCCGAAGAAGTGGAATTCGACAATGAGTCGGGTTGAACGAGGGAAGCCAGAGACGCGGGCGCAGCGGATCGATGCCAGCCACCAGGCAATGTTGAAAACACACTCACCTACTCATTCGAGCGAACGAGAGATGAAGAGCAGTGTTGAGTTAGTACATACGTAAATCAACATATATACATAATTCGCACTTGATTTGCAGTGTTTCACCTCCTGAAGAACAATGTCAAAAGCTCAATGGCTTGGCAGGAAGTCACCCTTTGCAGTCTGTGTGCTGCGTTTAAGTCAGTACTACTCCGACTAATCAGCCTTCTGATTTGCAGTGAAGGAGGTGCGCTGGAGATGCTGCATTGAATCAACCAGAAAGAGCGAAGGCATGACAGGGCAAAAGCAGCCTCAGCCATCATGACATTTCGCGCCTGTTTCATACACAAGAGCGCTTACGCTCATGCAAGCGCTGCGCTTATTTATGTTCGTTGTGTTAAAAAGACGTTTGCGCACGCATTATCGTAGCCTTGATGTCTCGATGATGAGCTGCAGTTTAGCAGACTAGCTGTGCAAGCAAGGTAGGTGATAGGTCTGAGCCAGCGAAACGCACATACTTCCGAAAAATCTTTTTTTATCAGCGTAAAGCTCACCTTCTAATCACGCCAACGCTAGCACACACAACAGCAGTTGGTCTGCAACTTGCTTGAAACTGTTTTACTAAGGTAAATTATTGGAAAAGAGATGACAACAAATAAGAATCCGCTGTTGGTTGAGCATAGATGGAAAAAGCAAGCATGCATCAAGACTTCATGCTCGACTGACGATGAATCTCGGCATAGTTTGTGTAATTTCAGTAGTGGTTTTTGAGGTGTAGCCAAGATTGATAACAGTAACATGTACGCGTCGTTCATCATCGTGTTCGATTGCAAGTTAGGGTGCTCCTGGCAGAAGTCGAACATGCTAGGATGACAGCGCGAGTTGGAATATCAAAATGCTTCATGAAGCGAAGGCACAGTTTTTGATAACGAAGAGGTGTTTTGCTTTGCTTTTTCGTGTTATTGTGGGCGAAATTCCGCGAGAATCGAATGTGGTTTTCGATGACCGAACCATACTATTATTTTTCAAAGCAGTCGCTTATTACCTCTCAAAAGGGAATTTTTTTGGGTGGATGAGAAAATCCGATTTTTTCGCCTTTCTTTTTGCAGATATATACGGGAACGCTTAGGTGAAGCCATTAAAATGAAGCGTCGAAGAAAACCCGAACAGAAGTGTTGTGATTCACAGGGAGCGCTGAAAAGAAAGGAAACACGACTAAGGGTTCCAAAAGCTCAAAATGTTTTCCTTTATTCCTTCCGAAAAAACTTGAAACATGGAGATCATCAAGCGTGCAGAAGCAGCACAGCTGTCCCTAATCGCAGTGTAAACGACATGGAAGCAAGTAGTGCAGGCCTTGAACATGCAAATGATCCAAAGCTATGTGATGGATCAGATGGCGGGATAATTTGAGAAGAGCCAGTCGTCACATCGCTACGGCGCTTCCAACTTCTCAGATCGCAAAAACACGAAAGGCTCTGCAGTGAGAAACAGGCCCACGATGACCTTGAGGGGCGCCGATAAAGTAAGCACAAACACAATAACGGTGAATTCGCACGCCATTGCCGTCGTAACGCGCGAACCACGAGGCGAGAACTTCGCTTTGCACGTTTTCGTTTATACTGGGAAGGTCAGCTCGTTACAGATCAGGGTGGCAGGGTGGTGGTGGGTCTATACGTTCAACAGGGACACAGCAGGACTCCTGTTACAGGGCTGTACCTGATCGTGACGGTCGGTGAGTTTGCGGCCATTGCTCATGCAATACGCCAACAAAACCTATCCTTGTTTCCCTTCTGTTGTTAAAGGCAGCGTCCAGGCAAATCTGGACCTATGGGGCTCTCGACTCTGCCCAAGCGGCAGCTCAGATAGTGCACTCACGGCTAAGATATTGGGCTCCAAACTATGCCCCGTGACCCCATTCGCTTGGATTCGTGGCGCTTTCGCGCGAGGATAGGAAACTGATGAAAGTGGCGCTTTCGCGCGAAACTGATGTGCCGAGCTATGAATCCATGCGAATACGGTCACGGGGCATAGTTTGGAGCCCAATATCTTAGCCGTGAGTGCACTATCTGAGCTGCCGCTTGGGCAGAGTCTTAGGGCCTCAAGATTACTTTCTACGTGGTAGTCCCATAGGTCCAGATTTGCCTGGACGCTGCCTTTAGAGTCTTCCTGCCATCAGAGGCCATCCTTTCAGTCACATTATTTTGAGTAGCGCGGGCGTGATCTCAATTGTTTCAGTGGTTTAGGGCCTTATGGCGCAGTGCATGAGCAATGCCCGCAGCCTATACGACCTTCACGATCTCACAAAGCCCTCTAACAGACCAGAGGCCCTATGCATCGAATATATCAAGAACCTTTCGAAATGCTTTGACTAAGCGCTTTTGAGCGCAGCATGCAATGTCTGATTCTGTGCAAAGTGATTTATGATGTGGCCTCTATAGTTGATGAAATAATTTTGCGCGGTCTTACAACGTATTAGGGAGGATTTGGCCTGCCTCTGCTCATAGGCGAAATAAGAAAAAATTGGTCGCATTCCTTTATTCTTATTAGTTCTCAGATGTCCGTGTGACTGATAGCAGTCACAGTGTACAAACGACGCCTACGCGACACCACGGGCATACATCATCTACACTCGCAATCGATATACTTGCGCATTCAGGGTGAACGAAACCAGTAAGTAATGGATCAGAATACAAAATTGTTGGTTTACGCAAGAGCACTATGAAACTGTTGTGAATGTAACAAAGATCTCTTATATTTCATGACGCAGCTGTTGGCTGTGAGACAAGTACGGCAATCGAATCAAGGACAAAAGGTGCTAAGGTCAAAAAGAGTGGAACTGGATGACTAGGACCCATTTAGTTGTTTTATAATGAGTCTGGAATTTGGAAAAAAAAGAAGTAATGCGCAGGTCAGCACAAATTTGGAAGCCATAAACTGGGACTGTCTGAGAGGTGAAAGTGAACTTTCAAGAGTAGCAAGCGTAGTGTAGGTGGGAAAAATGCAAAGATTTGTTTTTCAAGATAAAAATGAAGTGTACAATTTGTATAGTGCGGTACAACATACCATATTCAAAAAACATAAACGTCAGTTACATATAAGCTGGCGCTAGTTTCCATGGGAAGTAACAGATTCATTTTGATGGGTAGCCTCAACAAAGGCACTCGTTGAAAGGATGAAAATGCAGAACGCTATCTTTGACAGGTCATCTCAACATCTTCCATTCTTTTTTGGTTTTTCACACACACACACACTAGATGTCTAATTTATACTAACACCAGCATTAGCGCAGTAGAGAGTTTGAAAAAATATCAGTGGTTGGCCACGCGATCAGCTACAGCAGAGTAGATTTTGCGCTTGATATAGTGCGCTTGCACAGAAGGTGAAATGCGGTAAAATTTGTAAAATTTGAACAGATAGCTTCGATTGTGACGCCGGCCAGTTGCCGGCAGTACTGGCGTGGCTATTTATTCACGCGCAAATTTCACCGCATTCCACCTTCTCTGCAAGCACACTATATTAAGCGGAAAATCTACTGTATATAGTACGATTGCGATGAATCTTTTCAATCATCCGTGCTTGGGAGATAGCAAGAAAAAAGAGGAAATAGTAGTATGGCGAAGGACAGGAATCTGAAGTCAATATCCATTCAAAGTGAGATTGGTGGGATTTTGACGTTGTATAATAGGAGGCCCGCTTACTAAGGCCCGTATGCACGTACATCCCCGCGGAAAGGGGAGGGGAGCTGAGAGGGGAAGCGTCATATCTCGCTAGTCTATGTATCTTTCCTCTTCTTTCTCTGTCTTGGTTTTGAAGGTTCTCATACACTGATACTTGCGCATAACGGATGCTAGGTTACTGCCATACAAGATTAGATAATCACTAATTCGTCGGATCCCTTGGGGATCCCCAGGGGATCATCTCACATTTTCAGAGTCATTTATCTTCCTGAAAGATCAATGAAAACGCTGCAAAATTGTACTGTGGATGTACTACAGCACTGCTAAACATGTTTATGGTAGAAATGAGTGAAATCTCAAGATATCAAAATCTTCGATGAACCGCTGCTTGCGAGCCAGGGGTTATCGAAAAAATCAAAATCTTCAGATTCCATTTCTACTGTCGAATACATGCTCACAAGGGAATGGTCAGAAGTCGAAGTGGCCAAACCAAACAAGCTGCATACCTTTCGATGCAACATAAAATGCTGATTTCAAATCTGTCTTCCATATCTGCAGAGCGCCTTTGTAGGCGAAGTTGTGAGCAGCTTTAGTGCGAAAAAACCCTGTACAAAATTTGCAAAATTAGGCACATGGTTGCTCTTTCAGCCCCACTCTAGGTACGGATCATATGATGTGACCTAGTTGCATGTTTTGGTCCAACACTGAGCCACGAATGGCTTTGTACGGCCAAGTTTGCACTTTACACGCACAATTTCTTAGCAAAATAATGGCGTTCAACGGCTTATAATTTCGTCAACAAAAGCGCTCTGCAGATAAGGAGAACAGATTTAGAGTCAGCATTTTATGCTGCATCTAATGGTATGCAGCTTGTATGGATTGGCCACTTCGACTTCTGACCATTCCCTTGTCAGCAGTATCGTAGTATATCTTCAGTACAATTTTGCAGTGTTTTCGTTGATTTTTCAGGAAGATAAATGACCTTGAAAATGTGAGATAATCTCCTGGGGATCCCCAGGGGATCGGAAGAAATAGCGAATATTTAATCTTGTATAGCAGTAACCTGACATCCATCATGCGCAGGTACAAGGGCATGAGAACCTTTATAAGCACGATAGAGAAGAAGGAAGAAAGATATCTAGAGCAGCGAGATATGGCTCTTCCCCTCTCAGATCCTTTCCCCTCCCCGAGGGGATCTACGTGCGTACGGGTCTAAGTAATCACCCAGGTTCCGTTAGCAAGAAAAACGCTCTAGGACATAGGGGGAACGGAACTTACATACACCATAAGGTTGCTGCCGCCTAGTTAGCGGAGTTCATGAGAGGTCATGAACTGGCAGCAACACTAATTCGCACCCAATTTGCACCGAAGATGAGCTGATTCTGCTCACGGTAACTCCGTCATTATCTTGCAGCCTATGAAACCGAAATTTCTTTGAAATTTGAATTCAAAGTTCAGTAGTAAAATCAGTCCAATTAGGGCAAAAACTTGTATTTAGAGGTATTCTATCATGCTGATTCCGAATATGTTAATCGCTTTGCTTGAAACCCAGGATTTTTTCTTTTAGTTGAAACTTGTTTTCACAAATTGTCCAACAAAAATTTCGAAAATTCTATGTAAGGGTTTTTTGACATACTGTTTCCGAAAAAGCTGATGGTTTTGCTTGAAAGCTCAAAATTTTCCTCTGTTATCGTCAGATTCTTAGGGCATGCCTGTGGCTGTTATCACCAAATCCGAAAAAAAAGTTTGAAATTCAAACTAGAAAAACTACGATGTTTAATGCAAAACCATTAGCTTTTTTGGAAACACCATGCCAAAAAACCCTAATTGTGAAATTTGCCAAATTTACAGAGAATTTGTGGAAATTAAGTAAAATTTCGAAGGAAAGAATATTCAAAGTTCTAAGCGAAACCATTAGCTTTTTAGGAAGCAGCATGTCAGAAAACCCTTACAAAGAATTTTTGAAATTTTTATTTGTGAAAACAAGTTTCAACTCAAAAAAGAAAAAAATCCTAGGTTTCAAGCAAAGCGATTAACATATTCGGAATCAGCATGATAGAATACCCCTAAATACAAGTTTTTGCCTTAATTGGACTGATTTAACTACTGTACATCGAATTCAAATTCCAAAGAAATTCCGGTTTCATAGGCTGCAGGATGATGACGGAGTGCCTGAGCTTTTGTAGCCTTGCGCCTGACCCCCTCAACATGTCTTTAAAATCCAAAAATCGCTCCATTCCTGGTATGGGTTTTGAGCTCATAGCTTCTTCTTGCAACAGTAAAAATTTGGAACCAAACACTCTAGCCTCAAAGAAATTATGGTCTTTGCAATAAACCCATTCAGATCAAAATTTAACGTCAAATTACGTGTGATTCTATAGTGCAATCGCAGAAAATCGGACGTAAAGACTTCAAAAATCCAAAAACTCTTTGGAAAAGGATGATGTCCTCCAGAATGTCGCTCTCTGAGGTTCCGGAGATAGAAAGGACGAAGAAGGGGTTGTTTTTGAAAGACCTGTGCCTGACCTCTTGCTCAACTTTGATTGGAACTGCTGTTGGAAAGGGTCTCTTAAAGGCAGCGGACAGGCAAAATGGACCCCTGTCAGATTTTGGTAGTTTCGGGTAGTGGACCCCCCAAGTACACCGTAGCCCCAACCCCAACTTCCAATTCATGCGCTAAGTCCTGAAAAAAGCGCTTCAAAACTCCACCAGCCCCGCCCACTTGCATTGAGTGGGCGTTATTGGTGGAAGTTTGAAGCGCTTTTTTCAGGACTTAGCGCATCAATTGGAAGTTGGGGTTGGGGCTACGGTGTACTTGGGGGGTCCACTACCCGAAACTACCAAAATCTGACAGGGGTCCATTTTGCCTGTCCACTGCCTTTAAAGCTAGGCAGTGGGTCAGCAGAATGGACCCCTGTCAGATTTTGGAAGTGTTAGTGCATCAGTCAGCAAAGCTCTCTTTTAAGCTGCACCCGCCTCCATAGTGAGTTGTCGAAGCATGCAGTCCTCCGCCTTTTAATGCTTTACACAGTTTCCCGGTACTACCCCATCAGGATTATTGTGAGAATTCAATGAATTTTTATTTTAGCCTTGCATTCGCTTTCCTGAAGGACCAGGTCGAGCCAGGGATCGGCACAGCTGGCACCGAGTCAGGCTGATATCGTTTTTAGGGCGGAAAGCAAAGGGAATATCGTTCTTCCGCTGTTTGAGAGGAGAAGAGCCACAAGAATGCCGCCGGCATGCCAGCGGCATGCTGTTCATCAAACAAACAAAGGCGTTGTTTTCAGCCAAACCGCAATAGTATGACACCAAATTTGGTGTGTGCATGTGCGTTGAGGGACCCGAACTATGGCCCAAAAATTTATGAAAACTTATGTAAATGAAAGCTATGCTGAACTTTTTCCAATTAGCTGGCACCGTGCCAGCTGCGTGCCAGCTGAGCTGGCACCGACACTTTGCTCACATAAGTTTTCATACTTTCTTACATGAAATGTATGTACCCTGTAAAAGTTTACATACAGAGATGAAATAATTTCATAATGTTTTCTTTTTAGCGTTTTATAGCCATCCGGAAATCACTCGGTCTGCTCCACAGTCGAAAAATCGGCTTTTTCTGCTTCTCAAGATGTGATTCAACCCGCCCAGATAGCTGTGAAAAGTTGTTCCATGAAATCAGCATGCATGAAACCCTTCTAAATATTAGGTTGTCCGGAAAATAATGTCGCTTTTTATTTTAACATGCAAAATCGTGGCAGGGTCAGCACGAAAGTGAGTAAATGGGGTACCAACCGATAGATCAAAACAAGCTCTATAAAATGAAGCTCGAGTCTTTGCGCCAGGTTTGATTTGCTTGAAGTTTGGAGCCAAATTTCACAAGGCACTAAAGATCTAAAAAAACGACAAAAATCGTATCTCTGTTCAGAAAAGTCCTGGGAACCCCTAACTTGCTCACGCGTGGACTCACTATACGAAACACACTTATGCACATTTTCGAGGTTTTTCCATGGCTGAAAACTGAGAAAACGAAACTCGGCACATTTTTGCCAAAACAATCCTGAGCTTCTTCACATGGGCGATTCTGTAGCATGAACCTTTAGGAGTACCATGAATTTTCATCTTTATACAAGCGCTAGTTTTCGAGAAAAATCAAATTGTTTGCAAAAAACCCGAAAAACGCGACATATTCGCACTTTTGACCTATTTTTATTTCTCGTACTGTAGTCTAGGAAAAATACCACAAACTATACAGCTGAATGTCTTGTGTAGAGAGTACATGCCTGTGCAAATTGCAGATCCATAAGACGTCTATGAACCGAGATACGATTTTTCGGATATCTAGAATTTTTTACATTTTGGATTCGAACTTCAGGTGGAGCACGATTTCCGCGTAGTTTGTAAACTATATTGTAGAGCTTGCTTCGCTCTATCAAATGATACCCCATTCGCTATTTTTTATGGTCATTCTGTCGCGGTAGGATGCCATGCGACATTATTTTCCGGACAACCTAATACTCTTACATAATCTGAAAATAATGACGGGTCTTCAAAACAGGTCAAAGGGCACTTCGTACGAAATTTTCATGATCAAATTAGGACTTCGTTTTGAAATTTCCCTGGTGCCAGCTCGTGCCGAGCCCTGGGTCGAGCACGTCAATCACATAATAACTTGCACCCAAAGCGTGTGTTGAAGTAACGTGAACCATGTCATGCAAGCGTTTTAGCAACCACTCAGGCGAGCAGTGGCTTTGGGTGCAAGTTATCACAAGATTGACGCGCTCCATCGTGATGTAAGGGCCGCATGCACTAACATCCCTGCGGCGAGGGGAGCGGCGTCCCCAATGATGAAAAAGCCGCAGCGGCGTCCGCACGCGGTCCCTTCATAACGGGGGACGCCGCTCCCCTCGCCGCAAAAATGTTAGTGCATACGGGCCCAAAAGCCTAGGTGGATAAAAGCACCCTGGTAATCGACTGGCCCTGCAAGTGACTATAAGCCTGCACGCATTCAGTAGCCTCTTCTACTACGGAATAGAATGCGTTCGGAGCATGCCGGCAGAGGTTATTGAAGACTCCAGATCCTTTATGCTTTTATCCTTTATGTGTCGCCACGTACTGTCTAGCGCGACTTCGTAAATCATTGAAACTTAAGAGGAAAGGGGGATCTAGTTTTCAAAAGGTCGGGAATCAACCCGTGTTTGGCCCTGCATCCCAGCTTTCCTCTAGTGTCATTTATCTTCTATGACATCGGTAAGAGTAGCAAAGATATGTAGAGGATATTCTATACTGTAAGTCCTTGCAGAGCATGCTTTAAAAGCGAATGTTTATTTATTTATTTGAGTACGCTGCAGGCGCACCATAGTGTCGGGTTAGTAATTAACAGATTCTTGAAAAAAAAAATTAGTGTTAGAAATACAGATACAGAGAAACAAAAAAGGCTTAATGCAGAAAAATAAAATAGCTTTTTGAGACTATTCGCCAGTCCAGGTCCACAATCTAATAAATGATAGAACACAAGGACTAACTATTAGAAGCGCTGTCATAAAGGATACTCATATGAGTCTGCGCATACCACCCTCGCTGACCAGCAAGCGACCAATATTCAAAAAGTATGACGAGATACTAAGAAAAGGGATGCTAGCGCAACACTAAGCAACCCTTGTACATGTACAAGGGTTGCAACTGAACGTACTGGATGAGCCACAAACTCAACTGGATTTAAATAAACTAGAAATAAACTGGAAATAAGCTCGGTAAAAAAATATATTCGGGAGAATGTGTGAATTCTCAATTATACAATCAAATGATGGTTCCTAATGCCATCTTAAGACATTCCACCATTACACCAAATTAGACCTTCGCACATAAAAGCTATAGATGAGCTCTAATATTCCTTCTGCTCAGGTTAAGTGCTCCTGGAGGGTATTGCTCACATGATAAGGAAAACAGGTCATGGAATTGCATCTGTTAGCCTGATGAACGCCATTGCAGAGCACTGTAGGAGTATGAGTGACATAATTCGACCACATAGATAAATCTCAACGCATTCAAGACCCGGCTTTTTTCGATTTCTGCCACTTCGGATCAGGGCTATTTGGCAAGGGCAAGGTTACGACCACCAGTTTATCTTATGATCCGAATGATAATGGTTTGATAGATTTGTAACTTACTATTCCACACGAGAAAAAAATCTATGAAGTTTGATTGCAAATTGGCAAAGTACGAACTCTGAAGAACGTATCACTCTAAATGGCGGATGGGACGACACTCGGAGGGTCGTTTGTTGTAATATGTCGAACGCATGCTTTTGGTTAAGAACCTGGCTTTGCAAAGCGAGGAAATCGCAAACTAATTGATGTTTAATTTCGCACATCATTTCACACTTTGCCTATGAGACTTCCAGAATGCTAAAGGTTTGTAAATAAAATTAGGTAGAATTGAAATGAGAATGGAATGTCTAGCAGGGTTCAGCTCGGAGAAAATTCATGTCCGATGCATTGCGCACGCGTTGTTAAACAAACTTTGGCACAGTGTTTGATCAGTGATTACAGAAAACACTCTCCAGTACGATGCCTTGAGCGTGCAAGTGTAGTGCTAGAGCGAGAAGGAAAACTGGTGTTTCTGAACTTGCATTATTGTGGTAATTAGAGTGAAGGTTTTTATCGACATCAACACACTCTCAGAGCTTTGAAATTGGCTTGACAAGAAACTGACAATTTTGAGCTTCCAGGAAGCTCCGCTTAACCTTAGTTTGAAGGTCTTTTGCCTACCACTGAAGCTGCGCTTTCTCAACCCATCCTCAAAATTTCCGGAATTTCCTAAACTCGCCTAATTTGCATACCATCGTGTCGAGGAAATCTCGCCCTCTTGAATGAAGCTTAACAAGCCTGTATAACGGGTTGGTGAGGTGCAGAACTGAAGAGCTTTCATTTTATCCAGAGAACGTTGATAGGATGTTTTGCATCGACTTTTACGTGAAATGGTTTAGAAGAGAGAATTAGGAATTGATTTCCAAAAATTGCAAAATAAAACTTCAGTTTGTGCTGTTTTGGGAACTAGCCAAAACCAGATTATGGTCCTTGATGAGCTCTGTATAACAGAATGCTTATCTGTTCGGAATGCTTGTGTTTTTCTGAAAAAAAGCAAAGACAATTTTTGCCTTCGAAGAATTAGCTATTGTCCGCGACTCTAACGCGACCATTTTTGGCCTTTTTTGGCAAAAGATTTTCAAAGTTTGGAATTCAAAATGTCCACAAAGCGTAACATGTGGCTTGTAGCTCTTTCAGCTCTAAAGTTCTATCATCTCATGCACTTATCTACTTTCATCCTTGTTATCCATCCAAAAATAAGCGATAAACAAAGGAAGTCGGCTTGTCCGCAACTTTATGGCAGTCACTGTATGTGCCCAAATCTTCATTATATCACGTGATCACACATATAAACTACCTAGACTTGTAGGCTGATAAGTCTGCAAAATGCACAGCATCCTTCCCTCTTCGCAGATTGATATTACAGTTTGTACAAACGAGAGTTCTTTAGTATGGTCCAAACTCCATAGAATCTTCTCAAAGCACTTCTTTGACCTGCTGCCAGAGTAGATGCTGGGTAGTTCCTTAGGTGGCAGTGCTTCAAAGCGGCAATAACGTAGCACGTGAATCGGCAATTCTTGTCCCACATCGGTATATGCACTTGACAAGCTGTGCTGGTTTCAAATCCCTAAGGGTAGCGTATTTGAAACTGTTGTTCTTTACACCGATCAAATGGACTCTAAGTGATGTCAGGGTTCAAGGAAGGTACAAACTGGAAACTATACAGAACTTTTTATTTGAACGGTGAACATATGCAGTGACACAAGATCAAGGTATAATGCCTTAGTATAAAACAGAGCTGAAGATCCATCTTCTAGGCAAAATGGTCCGGTATTTTGAAGCAAATTCTGAAAAATGCTCACAATGTAATATTCTCACAAAGTTGTTCTGTTACTGGCCATTTAGAACATTCATACCCTACAATATATTATAAAGTGCGATTCATAATCAAACAGTCCTAATTTTGAGAAATTCGGGAACTTTTGGAAGAATTAAAAACTCTTAGTGCTATGTGAAAGAGCGCAGCGAACGGTACAACAGCACAAGAATGGAAATTGTTGTGAACCCTGAAAATGAATTTTGAGTGATGCATTACACGAATACCTCAAGCGGTGCTCCTTTGTCGCTCATAGCCGCAATCTTCCGCTTTCAGAATTTCTTGTAAAGCTACAGTCACAAAGTTTATCCACCACCCAGTGCAGTGAAGGGAAATTAAAAGTTTATCCACCACCCAGTGCAGTGAAGGGAAATTATCTGCTCAGATAGCTCAAAATGCTTTTGGACTTAGTGCGCTCCTAAAGTTCCTGTTTCTTAGCGTATCAAAAACTTTAATCAGGTCGTACCAAAGCTATGAGTGTACAATGAGGTTTCTTTGTTTGAGCGCAAAAACTCTGTGAACTAGTTGCGTTTTTCAACCAACTCAATCTTACTTAGAGTCAGCACACTTTTGACAGGGTTTGGCATGCGTTGGCTCCGAGCATTTTTGAAAACGAAGTCCCTTGTGCTTTCCACCGCATACTGAAGTCCCTTTCGAAGTATCGTGAGCGAAAATACAGCCGAAAACAAAAGGAGAGGGAAAGTAATGGTGTGGTTTGGTTTCATCATTGAGTGATAGACTTTCGAGCGCTCAACTAGTTCAAGCCAAAAAGGTACAAAAGTTATGTAAACTCACCAAGCTTTATGCTCCGAAGCAACCCAGTTGGTCTGGTGAGGGTCTGGAGATCAGCAAGTCCGAAAACATGTATTAGGACATATAAGTTTGAAGATTCTTACAATCAATTGCGCGCTGTATACAAGCCATTTGTTTGAACATTATTGCTGGACCCCGGCTCTGCCGGCCTGTCATTTTCGTAGTCATCATGCTCACTTACTCCCGTGCCAACTTCCAAACCCGTAGCTCGAACATTGCAAAAAATCGACTAATTCGACATCGATCGGCAGGAGGAACTAAGCTGCGGCATCCACCAGCCCCGAAGTGTATGTGTGCCCAGTTTGGTTCGGATCGGTTTGGAAATGAAAATTTCTATTCGGAACACACACACACACACACACACACACACACACACACACACACACACACACACACACACACACACACACACACACACACACACACACACACACACACACACACACACACACACACACACACACACACACACACACACACACACACACACACACACACACACACACACACACACACACACACACACACACACACACACACACACACACACACACACACACACACACACACACACACACACACACACACACACACACACACACACACACACACACACACACACACACACACACACACACACACACACACACACACACACACACACACACACACACACACACACACACACACACACACACACACACACACACACACACACACACACACACACACACACACACACACACACACACACACACACACACACACACACACACACACACACACACACACACACACACACACACACACACACACACACACACACACACACACACACACACACACACACACACACACACACACACACACACACACACACACACACACACACACACACACACACACACACACACACACACACACGCACACACACACGCACACACACACACACACACGCACGCACACACACACGCACACACACACGAGGGGCGGAAGTTTCTCACTCGAGCCATATTCTCTACCTGCCACCACACATTCGGACTCGTTATAATAACGAGCTCCGAGTAGCGGACTTTATGAGCGATAGCGCACGCTTAGGCAGGCATGTGTCAATAGTCATGTGTCAACCGTTAGCCCCGCCTATCGCCAGATGGACGAGTTCTCTGCACTACAGCTTTAGCGCTGGTTTACGACCATGTTCCTTAAACTAAAGCAGATCCTGATAAGAAGGTATAAACTTGTTGTTAAGCTAGAGAGGAGCTTGGCTATCAAAAAAACCTTCTTTTCGTTTATTTATTGAATCAATGAGCTAATGATGCGTTGATCGTGATCCAAGAAATTCGAAAAATTATATTAGGTTGTCCCGAAAGTTTTGTCGGTTTCTATCATCGCTCACTAAAACTCACAGAACACCAAACCATGGACAGCTTAGGTAACGTTTGATTCGGATGTTTATTCTCTTTCTTACAGTTATATTTGCTCTCTGATCTATCCTGTCTTTGTGTTATCGCCATGGCTTCTTGAGCAGCTCCCCAGTAACGCCAAATCTTTCCTGAATTTTAGAATTTTTTATTCTGATGTTTCCAAAGAGCGCTGGTGACTATTATGTAGAGCAAACCTTTGGCTACATTGTGTCCATTTTAGACTACTTGCGCCGCGTTTATCAAGTCCGTCATTATTATTTATTTAATGAAAACAGCTGCTTTTTCATTACGTTTACCATATAAAACTGTCGAAAATTCCAAAAAGCTGCTTTTCAAAGCAAATCAAACTTGGTTTTGTTGCATAGATAATGTTTAATAAGAATCATGTTTCAATTCACAGAAATTTCGAAAGCTTTCGTGTATTTGTTGCAGTTGCGTGTTTCAGCTTGGCCGAGAATCGAGACCTCCGAAAAAAATAATTTTTAAAAGCTAAAAACAGCAGATTAGGAGAATCTAAAAGTACTAACGTGTAGTCCGAGAATTACTCTATTTCCATACTTAACCTTTTTCGAAACTTTGGAATGAAATTTTTAAAAACTAGCCTAACTTTGAGCAGGTAAAATTGACGGGTGGAGAATTTTGGCAACTATCAAAAAAAGCATACAAGATTGTGGTATGATATAGCCATAAAAAAGAGAAAGAAAAGCTGCATCGATTTCATGTTGAAACTCACTCACTTTATTGTGCGTGGTTTTACAGTGGTTTGAAAAAACCGACAAAACTTTCAGGACAACCTGATAGTAGAAAAATTAATTTATTAGGTTGATGCAAAAGTTCTTTCGCACCAAATTCAAAAATTCATAACTTGTTGAATTCACAACAAATCTGCAAGATCTAAATTTTGTGTAAGAGAGGAACTCATGCTCTTTGCAATTGTGCCTGAACTCTTCGTTAATGTGTACAAATGAAGGAGATAGAAGCTCAAAACCAAAATCACTCAAAATTTGAATTTCGTGTAAGGTCATAAAAAATCGGAAACTTGCAACAAAAATCGGAGCAGTCAGTACTGTAGGTTTTTTTCACAAGCTCTTTCCAACAGTGCAAAGTTTGCGCTGATTGAGCGTCTCTTTGAAAAGTTATGAATTCCCTGAAAAATGCAAAAATAAATCAAATTCGCCATTTTGTTGCTTACTCGAAAAGCATAACTTTTCACAGAGACGCTCAATCAACGCAAACTTTGCACTGTTGGAAAGAGCTTGTGAAAGAACCTACAATACTGACTGCTCCGATTTTTTGTTGCAAGTTTCCGATTTTTTATAACCCTACACGAAAAATTCAAATCTTGAGTGATTTTGGTTTTGAGCTCCTATCTCCTTCATTTGTACATATTAACGAAGAGTTCAGGCACAATTACAAAGAGCATGAGTTCCTCTCTTATATAAAATTTAGATCTTGCGGTTTCGTTGAGAATTCAACGAGTTATGAATTTTTGAATTTGGTGCGAAAGAACTTTTGCATCAACCTAATATATTAGGTGGGTCCGAAAGTTCTGTCGTTTCATTTTCAAAAATTTGTAGCTTTGCGCTGTTTCAACGGATTTGCTTGCCTGTGATTTTTTTTTAAAAAGAATAAGTTTTTCGCTTTCAAATGCTTTTCCGTGGAGCTTCTACTTCATACTGGGTGCGGAGACAAAAATGGAAAACTAAGACCATATAAGAGTTGACAATTTTAAGTTAGGTCACCAAAAATCTGAAATGCTGTAGAAAAATCTGAGATCGTCAGCACTTATGTTCTTTAGCCTACTCTTGGCAACTGTGAAGAGTTTATGCCGTTTGGACGTCTCTGTAAGAAATTATGATTTTCGCGAAAATTGACAAATTAATTGATTTCGGCGTTTTCTATAGTAAACTCAATTTTCATAACTTCTTACAGAGACGTCCAAACGGCATGAACTCTTCACAGTTGCCAAGAGCAGGCTAAAGAACATAAGTGCTGACGATTTCAGATTTTTCTGCAGCATTCCAGATTTTTGGTGACCTAGCTCAAAATGGTCAAAGCTTATATGGTCTTAGTTTTCCATTTTTATCTCCGCACCCAGTGTGAAGCGCAAGCTCAAGAAAACAGTATTCGGAAGCGAAAGATTTACTCTTTCTAATGAAAATACAATGAAGTAAATCCGTTGTGACAGCGCAAAGTTATGATTTTTCAAAAATGAAACGAGAGAACTTTCGGACCCACCTGATAAAATTAAAAACTTGAATTCTCACCATAACGAAATCTGTTCTTAGCAATGATTAAGGTTTTGAAACTTACTTTTTCGACAGAAGAGATCTTTGTTATATTTTATGTTGGTTGTCTAATTACGTTGGTCATTTCAGCAATAATGATAATATTTTCCCGCTATGCCTCCTCTTTTTGGACTGAACTTGAGAGTGCGCAATAAAGAATATTCAGTATAGTAACAGATGTGAATAAAGAGAATTGAAGCACTATTCCGATCATTTTCGAATCAAATTCCTCATACTTGCAATGAAAAATCAATTTGGAGAAGCGCTGCTAGGAACAAAAAAACTGAAATAGATTAAAAAAGAGCTTGCTAACTAATTTGTAATGAAAAATGATTCTGAAAGCTGATTTTAAATTTAATTGGAATTTTGAAATCTACTGTGTATCCAAGTTGCAACCAACTGAACAAGCATGAACGAGATGTTAGAGGGTTTTAAAATAGCTGCAATGCATTCCTAGGTTAATTACCCTAATTTCACGCGTAAGGCGCACTTTTTCGAATCTTCAAGCGACGCTCGGCCGGTTCACTGCATCCCGGAAAGAAATCCTTACATCGCACGATTCTCGCAAGCAATATACAGCACGTTATAGGGTCCTTTGGTTGTAAAGTCCTTTGGCGTGTCTGGGCTGGTCGATTTTGAAAAAAATCCCCCGCGCCTTATACGCGTGAAATTAGGGTAATACGGGGGCGGAGCGATCAGCGATACCCATCCTGGCGGCTGGCACATGTTATCGTTCACTAGCTGGCTTACCCGGCTCGCCCGGCCCTGTCAAAAACGATAAAGGTTCCCCGAGCGGAGCCGAGTGAGCAAGCTAGTATAAGATAAAACGCGGTGATAAGAGTATTTGTCCTGACGTTCGCAACTTTTTGTTTAAATGTTTTCCTGAGAGATTGACCACCACAATAATGTATCCGTGTAGCCTACTGTTATGTAAAAAAACTCTTATAGATTTTTTGGAAAGATAAAGACATTTTTAATTGTTACAAAAAACTCAAAATGATTCTTTAGACTTAGACAACAAAATTGCACTTACTAACATAAAGCGCAAACCTTATTTTACTTCTGAATATAGAGCATTGAAATAGGCTTGTGGAAAAAAGTAACCTAACTGTTGAACTAGGCAGGAGTTTTTGCAACAAGCAAATAATTCAAAATCTGTACAAAATTTATAACATTTGTGGATAGCGAGAAGAGGCATCGTTTAAGCACTTCTTATAATGCTGATTGAAGCGGTGAACGGAAGTTTGAATTTTGTGACTTTCGCATCATTCCAGTATCCACTCCTTAAACTCACACAGTTGATGTAAGGGAAACAGCTTTCAAGCATCGAGGGCCATATTTGTATGGGAGTTTTGGAGGTTTTGCATGCCTTATGACTTGAAAGTTTGCGAATTTGGAATTTTGTGAAATCATCAATTCTCCTCACAATATACTCAATGCAGAGCCCATGATGAAAAATCATTATAGCCTTTAGATGTCTTTGGGAATTCCCAAGTAAGTGCGAAGAAAAATTTGCCCCGTCTATAAAGTTAGTTTTCGAATTGCTACAAAATCTCACAAATATGCTACATATGAGATTAGAACGTTGGTTTGAAAGTTGTTCGACTATTTAGAGATACAAACATTGGTGCTGAAAAGGGAAAAAAAAGGTAAAGTAGAGCATTTCAGTAAGTCATCTTTCCGCAGATTCGTAGTTTATCAAACTCAAGAAACCCTTTGGGTTGTAGCGTAGTCATAGTTCCTAGAGAATAACATTTTGATTCACAGATTGCAGTGCAATCTAGCCAAAGTTTGCTTTCTGTAGGAAGCTCTGCATACGAATTTGATTCAATGCGGAATCATAGAAGTTTTGAAAAGCATGTTACATGGATTTAAGTTGAACTGGAAGTATTTAGATGCATACTCACGGGATAAACGGCATTTTGTGAGGTGTAACGAAATGGGAAAGAGTAAGATAGCCAAGTGACTGGCATTGTAATGTTAAGTTAGTCCTAGTTAAAAATCGACCACTTGGTAGGAATGAGTTTGCAAGAGTGAGTAAACAGGTTGAGGCAAGTCGGAGAAAGGTTTGCTAAAGCATTTTTATAATGAATGGATTCGCAAATGCGATATCTTATCGCGCCGCATAAACTAAGTCCATTTTATTCGCACAAAAAGCCCATTTCGCGGGGACTTTCGTGGATATCATTCCAGCTCTATGTATGTTTGACTTGTTTTAAACACTTTTGCTATTTGCCACCAAAGCGAAGTCTAATCTATCTTTAGTACATCTGTGCTGAGCTCTGACTTTTGAGCCTCAAGACTCAGCTACTGCTCCTTAAGGTGCTATGATGAGGTAAGCACATGTATGTTTCTGTATCACGTATCTGCTATGCTTTTTCACATAGCACCAACACTTTTTTGCGATTCTTCCAGAGTGAGGGAATTCCCAATATAACGAGTGTTCGCATATATGAGCACTTTACTACTACAAAAAAGCACAGCGCATTATAATAAAGGGTCACCTGGGGTTGATACTGACGGCGAATCTGCTTTGTAAGGAGACCGTTTCCCGAATCGTAGGCCCGCGATGGCTGGAGCAATGGCATTAGGGCTGAGACCTGACGCGTTGTGGTATTGTCACAGACTAACAGAATGCTCTAGGTTGCTCACCATGATGACATCCAATGCACTGACAGCAATGATATATTAGTTCTGGCATACCGCAAATCTCAGAGCAGTCCATACTGCGCGTTTGCCGGACCCATACCGATATAACTGCTGATAATATGAATGTACGGAAGTTCACCATACTATACCTAAATAGTCGTTGCAGCAGAAAGAATGGACACCGCTCTTCACATGAATTTGGAGAAACATATGTAGTGCGCAGCCAAGGCAGATGAAACAAACAATTTGAGATGTCCCACTACGCGGGATACGGGCCTCCTTGAGCGGCTAAGCCACATTAGTGCATGTTATGATATCTTGCCTTTCCAGACCCATGAGATTTTCAAGAACGACATCATTTATCTTGCCAGCGCGAAAAGATTTCCATAGCAGCTGAACATCCTATGTTACTGGTTTTAATTCAGGTACATGCTATTTTCCGTATCTAGAAATACACTGCGGGTAGTAGTAAGCGAAATATTTCGAACGCGTTTTTGCCACATAAGCCATACCTTCGATAAACAGACAGGGCTTCAAGTGAAGGTCGTTTGACCATCTGCCTTTCATAAGAAGTGAAGGTTGCTTATAGAAATCAGAGAAGATGAAAAAATGCAAAACAAATAGCAGAAGCAAAGAAAACTCTTAAGAACCAGATAAAAACGCTGCAATGAGTTTCGAATCTTTCATTTGGCGGCTTTTCAAATTGCGAGTTCTCGCTCCAGGACCAGGCAATCCACAACATAGGGGTAAGACGAGGGTAATTAAGGTGTTTTTTCTTTGTGATACTTGCAAAAACAACCATGCTTCGGAAGTGATGGTGTAAGAAGAAGGCAAACAAGAAAGAATTAGTTTCAAAAACGCAAAATTTTGTTTTTACCAAGTCGAAATGCTCGTCAAAGGTAACCAAGTTTTTGATGCGTCCTTGAATTTCTACCCCTCGTTGTCGCTCATGTTTCCTGCGACGTTGTCTGGATTGTTGCGTTTACTATTCTGAACAATAAACCCCCCAAGCTAGAAAAAAATCGCCGCAAAACAATGAAAGAGAACAGGGTGAAAGACAATGCACTTTCTGCGATCTTTCGCAAAAAAAATCCGCCGCAGTCGAAGAAAGAAGCTCTGCGACGTTGTCTAAATTATAGAGGGAAGGAAGACCTATCGAAAGCACGAAAAACCGCGTAAAAAGAACTAAGTTGAAGAAAAAACAAGAGATTCAAACATTTAAACACGGTTTTGCCAGATTTCTCATTTAATTCAGAAATGGGGTTTTGCAACGTTGTCGTTAAAGTAGAAGTCAAGAGCTTCAATATGATATACGGATTGCTAAAATTGGGTTCAGAACAAAGAAGAAAGGAGTACAGACCAAATGCCCCATGCCCGCGTTTGGGGTAGCGAGGTAGCGCGCAACGCACGGAGACGCAGAGCAGGGGAGAAAGAGCAGAGCCGACAGGGCATTTCGCTTTGGTCGTAAATCTCTCGGGGTCTCAACAAAACCCTGCAACTTTATATATCACTTACTGGCTTACCCGGCTCCGCCCGGCCCTGTCAAAACACTATGATAAAGCTCTCATCCCTATCTCTGTACAATCTTTCCCTGTGCCCACGTCTATATGCCAATTCACTATTCCTGCTGTTTTAGTAATCAGCATGCTCAATTACCTCCATGTGCCAACTCCCAGCTCCGTAGCTCAAACTTTGCAAAAAATCGAAAAAATCTACAAAACTAATGGACGATTTTGAAAGTAATACTGTAGTCGTAATCAGCATGCTCGATTACTCCCCTCTGCCAGCTCCCAGCCCCGTAACTCGAACTTTGCAAAAAATCGATAAAATTGAAAAAACCGACATCGATCGATAACGAAAAGTAGCCAACGACATCCGCCCCGCCGCGAAGTGTATTGTGCCAAGTTTGGTCCGGATCGACTTGGAAATGGAATTTTCTATTCGGAACAATACGTACAGACAGACAAACAGACATCCAGCTTTATATATAGAACTAGCTGGTTTACCCGGCTCCGCCCGGCCCTTTCAAAACATTATGATAAAGGTTCAAGGTCTCTGTACAACCTTTCCCTGTGCCCACTTCTATATGCCAAATTCCTATTCCCGCTGTGTTAGTAATCAGCATGCTCACTTATCCCCTCTGTGCCAATTCCCAGCCCCGTAGCTCAAACTTTGCAAAAAATCGATAAAATCGATAAAAGTAATGGATAATTCTAAAAACTAATATTGTATTCGTAAGCAGCATGCTCGATTACCCCCTGTGCCAACTCTCAGTTCCGTAGCTCAAACTTTGCAGAAAAGTCGATAAAATCGATAAGAGTAATGGATAATTTTAAAAACCAATACTGTATTCGTAATCAGCATGCTCGATCACCTCCGTGTGCCAACTCCCAGCCCAGTAGGTGAACTCTGCAAAAAATCGATAAAAATCGATAAAATCGTTATCGACCGATGATGACAAGTGGCCTATGAACCCACCCAGCCCCGAAGTGTATGTGTGCAAGATTTGGGCCGGATCGGTTCAGAAATGGTCCACAAGTCTCACAAAGTCTCAAAAGTTCTGCGGAAGATTTGAGCACAGTTTCTCGCTTTTATTGCTCCAACAGCTTTCGCGAACTTCTGAAACTCAATCGTAGCCCGAAAAGAGGTATACGAGAAATGTTCTTATTTCCGGTGAAACCTTCATACAAACCTTCTTTTGAGCGTAAAAAAATGCTACAAAAACGCAATTTTTCGTCTTTGTTGTGACATTGTAAAGACATTATTCCCTATACCTGCTTCATTCACATTTATATCGATTTGGTTATGATCACATCCAGGGCTTCGTCCCCGGATTACCTCTGTTTTTTTCCCTGATGGGAAAAGTGTTCCTTCATGGCACTGAAAGTGAAGATTACCACTGTACATGGCTCTATTTATCGAGGGTATGACCGCAGCGTATCCATTGAGCGAATAATGATGACCAAACGCTGCGACTGAGCTGTGATGAGGTGCTGACTTTTATAAACCGTAAGCATGGCTATGATAGAAGCACATTTGTGAATGTGGGCAAGGTGTACGTAAAAGTTATATGAGTAGGTAGCTGAACGCAGAGCATGAAAATACGTAAAGATGTGATAGATGAGCCGATGCCTCGAAAAGTCTATCTCTCGACAGCGGTTCAATGTTGGAATGGGGTAAGTTTTCACCATGAAATACACCCATGTTGATAATTAGGATGAGGAGGCTCTGCACTAGTGGCAAAAGTCAGGCTGGCCCCGTGAGGAAGAGTAAAGAGTATAATGGTGTACATCTTGTTAAAATGATCAGAGGACACGTTTGACGCGGCGCATGGTGCGGAGGAGTCGGCCGCGCTCGGGCTCACTCCCAATGAGACAGAGCGTACAGGCACAAGGTGGTTAAGAAGAGATCGTGAAAAATTACGATATTTTTGTACGAATAAATGGCGCGAGTTTGCTTTCATGAATTTGTTTTGCTAAGTGGTGAGATAATGGCCCGTTTGCGCTGCAATGGCATTTATGAAACCAAATTTGGTGCATAATTGCGCAATGGTGAGTATGTATTAAGTTCGGGAATTTGGGAGAACTTACTTGACTAGAGAGCAAGCACAACTTTCTGCAAATGGGGAGAAATTTGTAACGTCATGAAATTTAGATGGGCAACGGCGAAGTTTTTTTTACAGTGATACGTGGTTGCCACCCTTGTGCTTGGTCATTCCACGATTTTTGTGCAAACTGCACAGTTGATTGTTGAAAGTGGATTTAAAGTACACTGATGTAGACTGGGCTTCCATCTTTACTCCTCTCCAAGTGATAAAGTGATGTGCAATGCAGCAAAAGAAATCAGAACTTGGAGGAATTTGTCTCTACTTTAATTGCATGATACCGTGGCAGCTGATGTAGCAAAGACCAAGACTGGTAGTTGGGGTAACGATGAGCGTCTCTGCCTTCTTCAGAACCTGGAACGTCAAAGATATTCGTATTCGCACTAGTGTCCAATGAGTGAGAGGAAAATTCTCTAAACGACGACAGTCCATCGCCGAATCGTGTAACGTTCAAAACAGCCATTGCTTAGCTCATCGGCAGAAATAGTAAAGCTGCAGTCAAGTGTGTATAGGCAGCACTGATTTGCATAATACTTCATAATAGGAATTGTGAGAGCGCTGCATGGATAAGCTGAGAAGGTGGAGAACAGTAGAAAAGAATTTTGTTTTTTGATTAATTTTGTAATCGTCGGAAACACATGAACAGCATGGAAGGAAAAAAACTTGAGATAGCACTTTTTTGAGCAAAACTTGGTTATTTTTAGTAGAAGCTAACATATTCCTTCAGAAGCGCTGACATATATATATATATATATATATATCAGTGGCGTACCGAGGGGGGGGGGGGCGGGGGGGGCGCGGGCCCCCCCCCGAGAATGGGTCGCGAAATTTTTGAAAGTTACTTATATGGGTTATAAAAATGTGCAAGTGACTTGTTTATTTTTGTAAATAATTAAAATAATTTTTAAAAAATTTAAAAAAATCAAATTAGCCTTGTAAAAAAATTTTTTTCGGGGGCGTGGCGTTAGCCACGCCCCCTTTTTCCAGATTTTAGGGGTCGGGGACCCGCAAAAGTTTTGAGAAGCACCCCAAAAAAATTTTCGGAGTGCGTGGCTAACGCCACGCACCTTCTTTAGAAAAAAATTTTTGTCGCGCCCCCCCCCCGAGCCGAAATCCTGGGTACGCCACTGATATATATATATATATATATATATGATGGATGCAAACGTCGTCTTTTGAATGGTGCAACTGAATGAAAGGTGATTAAACAATTTTCTCACTTTTGTAATATCTTAGTCTTTTTAGCTCTACATGATATCTCCTTGTTTGAGAGGAGAAAGCACAGCTTAGACAGTTAAGAATTTCATTCGTACAAGCGAGGTCCTACATCTGGCCTTGCTTAGGAAGGTTTTATAGGATTAGTAACACATAAGACGCATTTGTATTAATTCTAAGGCAGTACATTCCAATGGTAACTCAGAATGACAATGACACAAAGAAGAGATTTGAAGGTTCGCAACGAAGGCTGGAGAAGCTTTGTGATTGAAGCTGTCTGTGATCCAATTAAGACCACATTAATTTTCAACCTTACACGCCTGCCATCCGTCACTGCGAATTCCTGCGTATTTGCGCGGCAATCGTCCTTTAGGGGGTGTAGAGGCCCATAACGTTCCTATTGCGAGGCTTTCATTAGAGCAAGAACTTGACACTGCAATGTCAACAGATCGACGCTGGAAAATGTGGGAAACAAAGTAGGCTTTCCCAGAAAACAAAGTCAGTTCTAAGTTGCTGGAATCGAAGCATGACTGTGATTAGCATTATCGCTCAACCAATAAATAACGGGAATCTGATTGCAAGCAGGTGGTCTATGCATTGAAAATGCACCACTCAAAAAAGGTTTCAGACTCTCTATTAGACACCCCACCGCGCATTTACGAAATTGTTAAGTCACGCATACAACCAGCCAGACTAAGAAGTATGTCGGAGTTGTTAACGTAGTCGCTCGAATTGAAGTGCTCGAAAACCTCAACTTGGAGGATTTCTCCAAACATGTTATGACGCGTTGTCCACAGCCGCTGATGTTTCTTCAAAAATACTCGCCTTTCTGGTAATATAACGAAATTGAGCTGTCTTTCTATTCTTCATTTACCATCTGCTAGTCCGCTTAGCAGAGCGATGCACTTTTGTTTCCTCCAAGGGTTGTTTTTTGGTATCGTGGGCGAACGAGTATTTGCATATTTGCATAAATGAAGAGATAATGCAGGTATGTACAAAATTCCTTGTGACTTATGACGTGAATTGCGTGAAGTTGTAGGCATCTGTTACACTCGCTCTATATCATGTTTATTGATGAACATCCTACCACATTCAAAACACAAAAGAGAAGACAAAAATTGATCTGCATATGATACAACAACTCCTTAGGAGCTACATTCCTAAGAGACCCTTTCCTGATCGAAAATTGACCAGCACAGTATCTAACCTACTCAGCCATGTTTGAGCCTTTGAGCCAGGTTTCAGACAGATCAAGTCTAGCTTCTAATCTAATGACTACCTTGAACAAATGACACTTACAAAGAAAAGCGATAAGAGACATATGAGCAGGTACACAAATCAAAACATATATTGTATTGGAAGCAATATGAGGAAAGAGTATACGAAAGATCAGAATATTATCAATCAACACAACTTTCGAGACAAACCCTAAAACACAACAACGTCTTCACAACTATGATCATGGATGATCCAGGAAAGTACTCCCATATAAGCCTAAGTATGGATTGTTCATCTTCTTTCCGTTTTTTCAACATATCATAAGAACACGTGGAACGAAGAAAGGGAAACGCTTCAGGCACTGTCCGTCGCAACTTTTCTTCCTCTTTTCAACTATCGTATTCTTGTGCCGCTCGCTCTCGTGGTCAGTGAGATAATGGCCGAAATTTCGAACCTAAGGTTTTTACCGTGTCCAGCTTTGGCAATTTTTCACTATCTTCTTTTTTGACTTTTGGAAAAGCTTTGATAGCAGCCGCATAAAGTAAACAAAGTGCAATATTATGCAATTTTTAGGCACCTATAGCTAGCCTCAAAACATTTTTAGAATTATTTTTCTGATGCTATCAAATTCAACTTTTGGGGATGCCAGAAGCCATAGAACATAAAACGGCGCACGACTAAGGTGTCATTCGATGCAGCTTTTTCTCGTCTTTCTGATGAGTGCTTTTTCTTCTTACTTTGTGGGGTCTTTGGCGATAAAATTTCCATAAATCTTGATTTCGAACCCGCCTCAAGATGTGCTTTTGAAATGCGAAATCTTATATTTCGAAGCGGTGAACGCTCAGTTACTTTGTAAAAATAGTGTACAACCATAAACGACTTTTGAAAGTTTCGAAAACCGAAAATTTGTTGATGTTCAGAGCGTTTGTGTGTTTTGTGACTATGAAAAAGTGAAGACTTCTGAAAAAGTTATCTCAAAAAATAATGAGAAGCCAGCCGAAATTGCCAAAAATTGCATTGCATTGCACTTTGTTTACTCTATCCGATTGCTACCAAAGCTTTTCCAAAAGTCAAAAAAGAAGATAGTGAAAAATTGCCAAATTTGGACATGGTAAAAACCATAGGTTCGAAATTTCGGCCATTATCTCACTGACCACGAGAGCGAGCGGCACAGGAATATGATAGTTGAAAAGTAAGTAACTGTAAGTAAGTATCTAATTAAGTAAGTAAGTAAGTATCTAACTAGGTAAGTATATGAGTTTAGAAATAAAAAGGTAAAAGGGGTGGAATCCCGGGCCAGCAAATTGAATCACAGCATAAAAATATACATACTATAGTCAATACTATAGTCAAATACAATACTATAGTCTAATACAATACTATAGTCACTAAAATTGCTGATTTGAAATCGATATAAACAGCTACACTCATTACTTCTGGAAGCTCATGATCACTTCATACACCTCCTCATCTAGAAGGCAGTAATGCGGTTCAGTAACAGCATTTGGACATTTGGGAAGCAATGATGATAGATTGCAAATCAAACAAAAAAAGTACTCGAGGCCGCTTTAGCTAGAGCTGAATGTTAACAGCGTTTCTTGTGTCTACACTCCCGTTTGAGTCGAGTTTCTGTAGAGCGGCAAAAGCAGCCTCTTCCTTTTTCTCCTTCGCGCGATTTCTCCTTTCGAACTCCAACCTGGAAGTCAAGCACCGAAGCATTTGAATTTAAAACAGAAAGGTTGGCTAAGAGAAAGAATCAAGTGAGCTAACTCGAAAAAAAGATCAATCTGTAAGTTTATTCGGTTGCTCTGGCCAAACTCAAGATTACCACAACTTTGATTAGGCCTATGGGCTTTTTGCCTTACATTTAGTCAGAGCTTGAATTGGTAATCAATAAGCCGATTAATACGTTGTCGACCGAGCCATTTTGGACCACATCAAAATGGAGATCTGCGTTTACATTACTGAAATGCTATCGCGATGAACTGTGTTCCATATGATAATCAGCCCACCAGTATTTTTACTGCATAGAAGTCACCTTAGGAATTTTTGTTTACATATGGAAGACTGATGCATGAATGCGCTGAAAGTCGGGACTAAACTAAAGGAAATCGGAAAATTTTTTTGAATATCTGAATATCGAATGATATTCAGAAATCGAAAATTTCGAATATTCGACTTTCGAACGATATTCCAAATTGACCAATTTCGACTATCGAATATTATTCGAAATCTCAGATCTTCGAACATTTGGATTTTCGAATCATTCGCCTTAGAATCATTCGATTCAGCCCAAAGTATAGGGTATATGCGCTTATAGGCAGCGTCCCAACAGACTAGAGGTACCTGGCTCTGGTAGTAATGTAATAGTAGACCCCCTAACGAAGCGACGATAGAAGTTCGCAGCGCGAAAGGAGGTCTACGAAGTCTACGAATCGCCGCTCAAGTGGCCCGAGTCTTACGGTAGGCTCGAGCGAGTGCGAGACGCATACAAGGTAGAGACGCAGAGTCGTTGCGGGACCCTGCGCTCATGACTGTGTGCGCTATACACTCTGGCCTCGCAAATCGATATTGCTGTGTGGGTGGCGTCCGGGCCTACCGTAAGATTCGGGCCACTTTCGGAGCAAATTTCAGGCCTGGTAGACCCCCTCTTTCGCTCCGAACTTCAGTCATCGCTTAGGTAGGGGGTCTACTTTAACATCGCCACAACGACCCGGCACCCATCTTTTTGCCGGGACGCTGCCTTTATGCACACGGTCGTCAACGTGTTGATCATCTCCATGTATTCCGTGAATCTTACGAGTTTAGCGTACGCAGAGACAGGTCGCCACCGCGGACTCTGTAGGTATCTCTCATAACAAACACTCTCATTTCATTAGCCATCTGCTGTCTATCCCAAGCACGTACTGTCTTGATCGGACGCGACGGCGTCCAGTCTTTACGTGTGATGAATTACCTATAGGCGTAACATTACAACATTTGTTTCAGCGTATCATTCATGAAATAGTTCACAACGCAGGATTCTGTAATGAACTACGGCTATTATTAGTTTGATACGTTTCGGACCGCGAAATCGCGCGAGGCAAAAAGCCTACACTTATAGCCATCACTCAACAAAGATCTCTTGAGAGGAAATTTGTCATTTTCTGAATCAGCATTTCCTTGGAAAAAGATTACAGGTTTAGATTACAAGATTACAGGCACAATAATCAGATTAACCTATGTCGCATACGATACACATCGTTATCACAAACACTTTTTTCCTCTTGAAAGAAACAAACAAAAATCGACTTTCGTTCGCATTTTTCACCATCCTGCAACTCAATTTGTCACTGAATATCCTAAGCCGATACCGGCGCCACATCCCACAAACTTATCTCGAAGGAAGCCTAGGCCTTTAACTTTAACTCCTACTATGACGAAACTTCACGTGAGATTCGAAGCTCTCAAGTTCGGTGCTGCAAAATGTGCAGCACTTGTCCGAAATGTGTTAAGCACGACTAAGAAAGATGCTGGACCCCCTCTACGTCTTATTTGCGGCCATCAGAGCAAGTGTGTCCACAAGGTCAAGCCCACGTTTTGTATAAGAGACCGAATTAATTAGTCTTGTTGTGCAATTACGTATACTATACATATATTTACTAGTGAAGGCAGAAAATGAATGATGAGGATTTGGTGATGCCCATACCTGTGTTCGATAATTCTCTCAATGATCTTCTCGGTTGTCATATCGCTTCCCGAGTCCACTTCACGATAAATACCTAGTGCAGATCTTCAAAATAATGCACGTAATTGCAGGGAATTACCTCTCCTTTTTGGCGCTTCAAACGGATCATTACCAGAGCGATCGTGATGGGGCACGCGACTTCCCTGGCAAACAATCTAAAACTCTCTTTATTGTTTATATCAGAAGGATTGTCATCGGGATGACTAGTTCCCACGGAGATGTTGAATCTATCGATGATATCATCAGTCACACAGTATGGGGCTCCAATTACGACCTCGTTGACTGGCTAAAGGAGTGCATCTATATCAAGCAAACTTCGAAAGAAGCCAAGCACCCTATATGCCAATACGCTGAGCACTCTTTCGTGAAGGGACATGATGGGATGATTACTCCCTTTGACATCGTTGATCACCTCAAAATGAGATGAAAATTCAGTTAAATGTATTTCAAATGGATCCATACTTGATCATTGAGGATACCGACGATTAAGTAGTCTCCAAATTTTGCTGCTTCTTCCAGAAATGACAGAAGCAGTGGTATCAACGCAGAGTACTCTCCGCACACATAGACTATCTGGTAAATAGCGTATCACCTCCGGTGCACAGTTGAAACCCTCACAACGGCTGTCTCTCACCTTATCCGTTGGTCTGGGGGCTCTTCCTTCGGCAAACTCAATGATTGTCTGAGTAGTAGCCATGAAACGGGATACGCGTGTCCATGGTGATTGGGCCACACTATCCTAGAATTAAAAAATCTCAATTTAATTACTGTCGACATGAAGAAGCGAGCATTCAGCGATTGAACGCCGAAGTGAAACGTTGCTACTTGATCAAGTCGACTTGTTTACGAACGCGTTCGGATTCACACACACACACACACACACACACACACACACACACACACACACACACACACACACACACACACACACACACACACACACACACACACACACACACACACACACACACACACACACACACACACACACACACACACACACACACACACACACACACACACACACACACACACACACACACACACACACACACACACACACACACACACACACACACACACACACACACACACACACACACACACACACACACACACACACACACACACACACACACACACACACACACACACACACACACACACACACACACACACACACACACACACACACACACACACACACACACACACACACACACACACACACACACACACACACACACACACACACACACACACACACACACACACACACACACACACACACACACACACACACACACACACACACACACACACACACACACACACACACACACACACACACACACACACACACACACACACACACACACACACACACACACACACACACACACACACACACACACACACACACACACACACACACACACACCACTTCTACATTAAAGTGAACTGCAAGCAAAGGTGTTACTAATCTCCTGAAGGGGAGACATATTTCAAGACATTCAAGCAAAAGAAGAAATCTTTCGACAAAAATAAAGTCAAAAACTTACTGTACTCAAGGTTCGCGCTCTCTCGCGATGCTCATCCATTTCTTCTTCAGGTACATGATGGCACTTGGTCATAAGCAGCATCCTTCCAACTAAGTCCTACAGGAGAGAAGCTTTCGAATAGTGCATACATGATGTTACGTTATATCAGCCTATAACCCACAGTAGTTGATACACCAGCTGTGCGTTTGCATTCTCGGTAGCGCCTTGCCTTCTTTACTTCCTCATAAGTGTCCTTTCCATCCGCAGTGAGAGTGATGTCATCTAGAGATTGGGGAATCATTATTGTGCAATATTTGGACATAATTTAGAGGCAGCGTCCAGGCAAAGCTGGACATATGGGGATCTCACATGGACAGTAATTTTGGGACCCTAACTAAGACACTGCCCAACCGGCAGCGGGCCCACGCGGAACTGATGTACAGCGCCATGAATCCATGCGAAGTACGATCCTGGGGACCAGTTTGGAGGCGTATATCCCCGCCATTAGTGAGTCATTTACGCTGCCGACTGGCCCGTAACTTACAAGGGAAGCGTGTGTAGTCGAAGTGGCCTTTTCAGATGAGAGACCCATACTGCTTTGAAGAGCATTAAGCGGTGATTTTAAATCTGCCTTCCAAAGCTGCCAAGCGCCTCTGGACGCCGAGATTGTTAGCTATTGAACGCAAAATTGGAACAAAATCGCCCAAATTTGCTCAAATGGTCCAGTGTCAAGTATCAGAACCCTTTATGCAATGGATACATTTTATTCAATATGCTAACACTAAACATTGCTTTATCTGAGCTGTAAAGATTTTAATAATCAATTTTACCCAAATTCTGCATTCATTTTTCGTTTCAAAAAACGGTCATAACTCGGCGTCCAGAGGCGCTTGGCAGATTTGGAAGGTAGATTTGGAATCACCGTGCAACACTCTTCAAAGAAATATGGGTCTCATCTGAAAAGACCACTTCGACTAAATACGCTTCCCTTGTTAGTTATGGCCCCAAAATTGCTTTGCACGTGAAATCCCCACAGGTCCAGATTTGCCGGGACGCTGCCTTTAAGATACTCTACCTCCGTGGACGCAAAAGTCACAGTCATAACGATTCAGAGTCTCTACAGTCGTGACATATGGAGCATCTTCAACAACCTGTGAATTAAAGCTAATAAGAGCATCTACCATACTGCATGGAAAGAAGAAGGGGGATTTATGCATTGAAATCAAACCATATTCCTACCATTATTTTTGGTCCGTAGATTAGGAAAGGTAGTGGCAACCAGAGAATTGAATGAGAAGTGCTATCTTACAGACCTGTCATTTCTTATAATCATATGGGTCATTGCACACCATGCCCGTCTATGCAGCTCTCATCCTAGATTTTGACCATAGACACCCTCTTGTCGAGCGTTTTTATTTTTTTGATATTTTTTCCGTCCACTCTTCTATCATGAGCGTTAGAGCAGCATTTTTTATGTTATGCATCTTTCATCTTCCCTCCTTGGCCGAAAATCCAACACGACATAAAGGCTTTAAATAGCATCACTAGTAACATATTTGTGATTATCATGTCAGAGAATCCCTGTGGGCCAAGTTTTAGTGAATTCTGAGGTTTCCCAATATTGGGCCACCCAAGTGAAGTGGCAATTTCAAACATGATTAACTATGTTTCAAAAGCGAATTAGCTATTTCTTCTTGTACTCAATACGTAGCACTACTCCCTATTAGCCTATACCATGAATTTGGTTCAAATAACAATCAAATTATGGAATTAGGCGGCAGCCAAAATCTTGTTTGTTCCAGTTTTCGCTTACAGTGGTTGTGGTTCCAGCAACTATTGCTCAAACGAAAAAAAAACGAGTCCAGCTCTAAATACTTCCACAAAAACTACGAGATTTTTGCTATCGAAGTGTACCTAATTTTTTCCTAGAATCCTCTTTGGAGCTAAATTAATGAGGTGTGGCACAACCCCTAAAAAGCTGTGGCGGCCACAGGTTTCTAGGAGTTGTGCCACACCCCATTAACTTATCTTCAGACCGCTCAAATCTCTGCGTTTTTTATCGTTGCTATTGCCCATTCTTCTTCTTTACACAAAAGAAAAACCATTAGAAAGCGAGTCTTCTAGGAAAAGATATAGTCGTTTTCCCTTACCTATGCAAACGGAAAATGCTGCGAAGATATTGGGTTACGGTAACATGCCTAGTCTGCGCTACTATGTGGATCGCAAGAGAAGGCGGCAAGGATAAATATATGTGATAGACTAATACCCATAATTTACATAAAAATAATTTGAGCCTGACTGGTACTCTCTATTCTGAGATATTTGATAAGACAAATGGAAAAAAATGAGATTTTGGCTTCCACGTAATTCCATAGTTTGGGTGTTATTCGAAGTGGGATTCCTAATGTAATAAGTGCAGAAAGAAGTAGAAACCCACCTTTGAAACGAAGGTAACATGTTTGAAAATGACTATTCACTTGGATGGCCCAATGTTCGGAATTCTCAGATTCGCTGAAACTTGACCACAAGGGTTATTTGATATTCTAGTTACGAAAATGTTGCTCTTATACTTATAGTGCTTTTCTATTACGCTACTGTACATATACGATTGTAGGCCAAAACTTCAATGTGCTAGTACTTTACACAGTGCCTATCTGACATTGCTAACGAATATCATGTTATCGCTAACATCAGCTCACCTCGATAACGACCCCACCCCCTACCCAGACCCCTCAATACGACCCCCAGGTGTGGCATGCCACACTCCAAGCTTGACCCTGGTTGGATTCCTTAACTACAATAATAGTCGAACTTCGACGATTGGGGGTTCCGTGTGTTAATGTTGGGAATAGTTTTAAGATTAAACACAAAAAGACTCAGAGTCAACAAGGAAAGAATATAAGGTCGCCAGCAAATTGAGAAGTTACAGATGTCACTGAAAGCGCTGTCAGACGCTGGTCTGGATTATGCTTTTTTCTGTAACCATCGAAGAAGCCGTAAGCGTTGGAATCTGTAATCCTATGTGACCAATGGCTGAGATGATTAGAAGTATTACATACAAGAAAAAACCATCAAAAGCATAAACCATTTCATAACTTCGCCGAAGTTACACATAGAGGAAAGAAGTTGGTATAAATGATCTACCTCATCTACCCATTTGATTCCTTCCACCATCCGATATCGTTCCTGTTCATTGAAAACCGGTGGTCCTTTGTGCAATGCTATCTAAAAAATAGGTGCGGATAGATTTTACATGCTAAACTCTTAATTCCAGATCTTCACTTCTTCGTCATTGTGCACTCCAACGATAAGTTTCTTGCCGAATTGCTTAGCCTGACGGAGTTGGTTTGCGTGTCCGAAATGTACCATATCGTAGCTGAACTCGCAAGGTTACTGCAAATTTTTCCCTCCATTTCGCCTTCTTGTTGCGTTGAGCATTCATGGGCTTGCGGCGTGCAAACTAGCATGTACAAAATTGGTGACCAAACACTTGTCTCGAGGAAGTCGTAAATATCGATAATTTCTACTTGCAAAAAAATATCTGAGAAGAGGTTGACAAAAACTGCCGGTACGTTCTGAGAAATATTCGAGCAAAAGCTGCGAGTTAATTAGAACTTCAAGTAGCTAGAATGTCTTCTGAGCCTTAACTGGACCAAAAAAAACTGTGAGCTGACAGCTACTTCTAGCACCTTCTTTCAACAAGTAAAACTTCGGCCAACGATGGTCACGTCTGACCACTTGATGTGCTTTTACAGAAACGCAAACGTCTGATTTCTAGCGGATCACCCTAGAATGAGAGTTTCCCACAAAAGAAATCGTTACAATACCAAAAGTTATCAATCGGATGCCCGTGGCAAAGCCCTCTTCTTATTCTGCTTTAGCATTACGGTCCCAAACTTCAGCTTCCAATATTTGTACCTACTGCATTCCTTATCATGAGTAACGCAACTGTTAGGAAGGGAACGGCCTGTGAAGAGATGTAGAAAATTGAGACACTACAAGGCCATCAGCAGTATTGGTTTCCTACCCGACGTGTGCTGAAGAGAGATTCTTTTTCAAAATAGGAATGGCACCTTCTTGATTATATTGTTTTGGAAGAGTCACATTGAGTACGACTACGTTCTAATCTGGTACGCAGTATATAAAACAGCTGGTAATTCGTCACCAAATGGCAGGTCAGAACATGTACACACAGAAGGGCCGCATGTATACATTGTCACTTTTTGCCAACGCAATCGTCTTCCAGAACATCAATGCTTTTTGCTAATGCAGCAGACTAGCAGACTACCCCTACGCTCACATATATGTGAGCGGTAGAGGTGCGTTCAATAAAATATTATCAAAATTACTCGCACTACAGTATACGATATTATCTGTTATGCAACAGAACTCGAAAGTGAGGCACTTACCAGCCATCGCACCAGACACGATCTCCTTTGCGACCGCCATCTGGAGCTGTCATAATTAGCAACGGCTCCTAACCGAATAATAGCACACGGAGAACGTCCGACCACAGAACGTCGGTGAGTCGATTCGACGGTGGCAAAATAAACACTGCAGATAAGAAAGGACCGAGGTATCAGATAAGACTACCTATCTATTAATCCTACGACCCAATGATAGAAATCATAGTGCTTGAAAGAGTTAGGTATGGAATGAAAAGGCGAGAAACTGAGGTGATGGTAAGATGCAATTTCCGCAAAATAATCGAATTGAAAAATGAGTAAATTCTACAGGTATTTCATTTGTCAAGGTTTGGGAGCACGATTAGCGTCTGGTGAGAGCATGTTTGCCATTTGGAGGCGAAAGAAGTGAAGCGCGCAGCGCCTACGGACATGGAAATTCCAGCAACACGACTCAAGTACACTATGAACATAGGGCATCAGTGACTTTGCAACCTCAGTTTATGTCGGTCACCTGACTTTACACAACACGCTGATATGAGTTTAATGGAGTGCAAGGCGCGGAAACCTAGCATCATCTCGTGGATGGCCATGCCGGCGCGTGTTCACGTGCGGGAGCGGCGATTCAGGTTTCAAGGCGGCGATTTCGGCACCCCACCCCTGGGCGCTGCCTCGAATCCGACAGAGTGCGAGCTTAGTGGCGCAGTGTAAAATTCATGCGTAGCCGACTTTTCCGAGGTTGATATGTCGAGTATTAAAGGACGTGCGTGCACGCACCACACCGTCATTTGCTAGCTAATTACGACACAGATGTCTCTGCGTGGCTCTACCGTCTCGGCAAGATTCGTTAGCATGATATTAACGATGTTTATTCACAAGAGTAACACATGTTTGCCTATTGTTTTTTCAAATTTCACGCAGCGCTAAGCTTTCACCATGGCCTGGATCGATAGCGTCACTCCACGCTGGCATTGCTGCCGATAAGATGTTGCGAGCAGGTAGCGCTGCCGCTTGCCAACATGCTGTTGTAGAATTCTATAGTCGGTATAAGTAGAAGAATAGAGTATGTTGTATCGAACTAGCATAAGGAAGCTTTGGTATGTATTTCAGCTTTGTTGTGTTCTCCTCAAAAAGAGCTCGGCACAGGTGGCTTGTAACAAGCTGGTGGGACAAAAAGCAAAGGGGGTGTCGTTTTCGAGGCCGAAAAGATACAAAAATTGTAAAGTTTTTAGTCGACTTTCGTTTTTGAGGGTTTTTTAGGTTTAGGTTTAGGGTCAAAGGGGACTTCGTAAAAATTCCCAAAAGTCAAGGGGGACTTCGTTTTTTTGCATTTTCCATAAGCCACCTCGTGAACGGATTTCGTATCGCTTATCGCAAGAAATTTTCTATCAGCTTTTTCTACCAATCATCTTTGAGGAAATGGTCCAGGTCAAAGTTGCTAGTTGGTGAGACGGTTTTCGCCGCCTTCTGTTTTATGGCCGGCACCCATGGAACCCTTTACCTAGGATCGCTTCAACAAAAGATAAGTTCCAGAGGAAAACTTAGGAGTTGGGACTGACCCCAACAAAAGTGTTTGCTTTGATTAGCAGTCAATGCGTACCATAGTTTCACCGCCTAATGTAATCTAAAGTTGATTTTCTTGAAAGATTCTTGAAATCTAGAATAGGAAAAAAAGTCTAAATCTTCTGCAGATAATATTAGGTCGTCCCAAAAGTATTGTCGGTTTCTTCGAATGAATGTAAATTGCTGCATAATAAAGATCCAAATAAGTTTAAACATGCATTTGATACAGCTCTTACTTCTCGTTCTGATTGTTTCATTTTCGCTCCATAATCTTGTGAATTTTTTTGGTACAAAAATTCTCCACCATTTCTATCTGCTCAAAGTTGGGCTGATATTCAAAAATTATATTCTATGGTTTCGAAAAAGCGTAAACGTGATTAAAAGTATTTGTTTGGAGATCTCAGTTATCGATGAAGTCATGAAACACACAGCTGCATTAAAAACATGAAAGCACCCAACTTTTCTGCGATATAAAGCTAATTGTTACTGAATATCATTTGTGCATGGTGGTCGAGTTTAATTTGCTTTGAAAATCACCTTTTTAGAGTTCACGATACTCCTATGCGCTACGAATGTTCAAAAGGCGTTTTTTAAATAACCAATAATGACAGATTTTGTAATAGAAGCTTGATCCATGTAATCTGAAATAGGTATGATGTGCTAAAGGTTTACTCTACATAAGAGCTACCAGTGTTGTTCTAGAATGTTAGGATAAGATATTTTAGAAATTAGGGAAAAATTGGCGTCCTGGTGAACTTTAAGACATACTTGCTAACATGAATGAAACTGCATAAACCAGAGAGATAATGTAGCCATCGGAAAGAAAATGAAATCCTGAATTAAACGATATCTGAGTCTTTCGTCGATGTGAGCTGCAGTGACCAATAAAACCGACAAAACGTTCGCGACAACTAATATTAGTGCACCTCCATGTAAAGGAAAAGTGAACATTTTGCTACCAGCAATTAGAGAAATGTACATGCTACATACATTAGGTGTGTAATAAGTTCATTCGCATTTTTTTATTTCGGTTTTTTCTCAATTTTTTTTTGTCATACTTGGCAAAGTGCTGACATGCTTTAAAGCTCTGAGTCCCTACAAAATCTTCATCATATATCAGTTAGACACTAAATCCAAAAGAGTATACGGCAAAGTGAAAAATGCGAAAATGCAAAAAAAACCACGTTTGACAACTTTTTCTCTCTGATTATTCCCTTTCGTAACTGGCATTTATGCAGCAACCTTTCTACAAACAGAACAACAAACTAGAAGTTATGTAGCAGTTAGAAAGAGGGCAGCGCTTTTTTGTTAAATTCCAAAGGGCTCCTTGCCTCCGATCTGAATGAAGCCTTAGTTTTGACGAACTCTACGGTGCAAGCTATTACTGTGTAGAAATCACGCTAAACAAGAAGATGAGATGAGCGGGAATTCTACCACCCATGGTGCAAAACAGATACTTCAGGAGTAGAAGAGTGCGAACCTCTAGCCTTGTACGCGCACTAATTTGGAAAAATAGCATTTTCAGCACGTGCATGTCCGAGAACTTTCTTGCCGTTCTACTCGTTTCATGCTACAGTTTACATTGCAGATAAAATCTCTAAACGCATGTACAGCTAAAAACACTTTCACACAAAGTACATCTGTCTTAGCTGTAGCACACTAGGGAAGAAATCACGAGCTCTTCTCTTCGCAGAGCTTGCATATGTGCCAAGTTACTGTCATGATGATGACATAATCTGTATCTAAATACATTTATGTGAAACATCTCCTAACGATGAATTTTTATATGATGTTATCCAAATACTGTAGCATTATTTTGAGCCATTTCTTCCTTAAGGCAGTCCTCACATTAGAACAACGCGCGAAAAAAGTTCATAGCCCCACGGAGGGAAACGCTTCGCATGAAAGAAGATATAGATCTGTGCACAGCCTTTCGGCCTGATTGCATCTACAAATGTCTCACCTTTAAGGGCCCTTCAACACAGTATCAACTTCTTGTCAGTACTATAGTCATATAGACTCATCAGTGGCGTACTGAGGGGGGGGAGGGGCTGGGGGCGGAGGAAAGGTGGGAGGGGGGGGGGGTTCGCGAAATGTTTGGAAGTTATTCACATGTATTATAAAAATGTGCAAGTGACTTGTTACATGTAAATAACCTTCAACCTTCATCTGAAAAAAAAATCTCCGTCGCCTTCCCCAACGGAAATCCGGGGTATCCACCACAATCCACTGTCTCCCATGAAAAATTACCATATAGCAGTGGCGGACCCAGCATTTTCTTTGAGGGGGGGGGAGGTATATCGAATAATGTTCTTGAGATCTTATATCCAGAACGTTGATTCCGAGGGTTAAAAAGATCTCTTATTTATCTCCTATACCGTTATGATTTCAGCAAGGATGCTAACGTACGTAAAGACTCCTGGGTGATTTCGCGAAAGAGTTTGGAATTTGAGCCAGCTTTAAGTTTTGTACCCAAATTATTAGGTTATCCTAGAATCTTTTACCTTTTTTATCACAGCCGTCGTCTTTTTTGTATCCTTCCTTCAATTGATGTGGCTTGAGTAATCGACAGCGCAAAGCAAGCTCTAGATGGCTGTCAACAGTCTACCCAAATCGTATCTCACGTGAAGTTTTGAACTGAAAAAAAAAACGTCAAAAACGAACTTTATTTTTAGAAATCGTATCTTCGCCCCAAAAATTCTTAGAATTTCCCAAATCCTAGCATATGCCTGACACATCGAACATTCAAATGTACACTTTCCGTACTTTTTCCATGGCTAGAAAGAAAGAAAAAAATGATTTAAGTAATCAAACTCCGCCGCTAGACGTCCTAAGCTCCTCCAACCCACGTGATTATATAGCTCAACAGAAGTATGTTCATACATTTGTACCTCTGTAGGTGTCGCAGTTCTCGAGAAATGCTGATGTTTAGGGTAAAAAATTACGAAACACTCTAATATACCATAAAAAACTTTTGTAATCGTTTTCTAAATGATGCGTTTTTTTCAAAGCCTTTCTTGAACCGTTTTGTGCTCCAGTTGTCGAATTGGCATCGTTGTATCACAGTATCAGCTGTTTGTAAAGAAATTCTTTTCCGATGGAATGTATAGAAATTTCTGTGAAACGTATTTGCGTACAGTGGCGTACCGAGTGAGGGGGCCCGGGGGGAGGAGGGGGGGAGAGCGCGCACCCCCCTCCCCGAGAACGGGTCGCGGAATTTTTGAAAGTCACTTACATGGGTTATAAGATTGTGCAAATGACTTGTCTGCACTTGTGAATAATTAAAATAATTTTTAAAAATTTTTAAAAATTCATTTTAACCCTTTAAAAAAAAATTTCGGGGGCGTGGCTGTCGCCACGCCTCCTTTTTCTGAAATTCCGCGGTTCCGAGCCCGCGAAAATTTGGGGAACATACCAAAAAAAATTTCGGAGTGCGTGGCTGAAGCCACGCACCTTCATTCGAGAACCTTTTTTCCGCCCCCCCCCCTCCCCGGACGGAAATCCTGGGACCGCCACTGACCGATACATATGCGCGTTTTGCATGCATGCATATACCTGAACGCCAGGCACGCTCACTTTGCCATCGAGTGCGT